CATGTCACAAAGCTCAAACCATTTCAAATTGCTATCTTCAATATGTTAAGAGTTGAGTGCACTCCAATGGTTTCCAGAGTAACCAGATCCTAATCCAATTGAGAACCTTTGGAAAATGGCGGAACAAGAGATTTGCATCGTGAATGAGTAGCTGACAAATATGCACAAAGTCTTTAATGCTGTCATTTCAGTTTAGAATAAAATAAGCAAGGGATGTTTATAAGACCTTTAATCTAAATAAGGTAACCAGTGAATTTGTTGTACATCACTGTCTATAGAAATTGGTTTTCATTTCTATTATATCTATCTGGGTAAAGTACTGATCGAGATTAAAAATCTCTCTTTGTAGAATTTTACTCGGCAAAGCATAGAAATCGAGACAAGACAAATTTCAGCCATCAAAGTGTAAATACTGTATACATAAACATTTGTATAAAGGGAATTTATATCATTTTAAGATTTCTCTTTTGTTTTCTCCCATATTTGAGACCAAGGACTGTAACTGCAACACATTTTTGGCCTAATGATATAAAGGCAGTTGACCAAAAATAGCCTTACAGTATTTTTTAAATAAAATTGTATTATACAGTACCTGAAACACTCTTCAGTCAATTACCCTGCCCCTCTTAGTGGTCTGAACTGACAGAAAAGACAGTTACAAGCATGAAAAATGAATTATACTTTTAGTAATCAGACTGAAATGACATTTCTAATTAAAGAGAGTGAAGTGTCATTACCCCCTCCCCCCCAGATAATAAGTGAGTTCTTACAGCTTCATTTATGTTTGAGACTTTAACTGTACTTTGAAGTAAGAATGCTGTAATATGATTCCTTTCTACAGTAAGTACTGTGAGGATAACGATCATCTGAAATGGATAACATTATGCTGACCAGGGATTGTTATGGCTTAAGTTCAATCAAGCATGCCTTTAAATGAGACAGGAAGAAAAACCTCAGTAAATGGTCTAACCAAGTCTTTATTTGGTTATTCTACACAGGCTGCTGATTATTTCAAATGCATTTATGAAGCATTTACTCTATTTGCAAAAGAATTCTTAATTTTGTTCAACAGCACTGGAATAATCTTGTCTTCATCTCATGAGCCCAACGTTTCATAAGTTAATTTCCGTCTGCATTATGCTGTCGATAAACTCTTCATCATTTCGGTCACATCTTAGAGCTACAGTACCCTCCTCCACCATCACTCATCACTGTATCACAGTGTTCCTTTTACCGAGCACTCTGAGAGTTGGGCCTTTTGTCATTCCTTCATTTGGTCCTGTGGGAAAATTCTTTCAAGCCTCATCACTTAGTATTATGTGAAGCAACTAAACCAAGAGGGACAGTGGACAATTGTCAACATGGATTTTACTGGAATAACATGCTCATACAAGATTTCAATATTACTGAGGTTTTTTTTAGAAAGAAGGAATCCCTCTATGACTGGTCAGAGGCATACTTGTAGTTTTATGGCAATTAACAAGATAATAACTTTGGGAAAATTCTTTTTCCAGATTTGAAGGTCAAAGTGTTTCTCCTTGACACATTTTAAAGAGCTCATTAAAAAACAGGTTGGTGATACTGAGGTCTGTAATTATAGGTGGCCCACATTTCTCAACAGGGTTGAGGTCAGAACCTGGAAAAATCACTTCAGAAGCTATTGATTTGGGAATGCAACAGAAAGCATGCAGTTCTTCATGGGCTGCAGTTTTTATATTTATGCATATGTGGTTTTATGTGTGCTTTTTTAATGCATATAGCATTTAGTGTTGCTGTTTGCTTAGCTAAAAACATTAAAGCTATAGTTAACTTGATTAGTTCATACATGTTTACCTGGTAATAAAGCAAAGAGCTACAGTACAGAAGAAAAAACATCTGCATTTCTGGGATTTTTTTTTCCAAAATCCTATACATTAATTTTCTCTAGAATAAAAAACTTACTCTCTCTTCTTCCTTTTGTATTGCAGATCATTCAAGAATGCATACATCAACCAATAGTTTACAACCTACTGAGATGTATCACACTACTTAAGGATATTTCTCCATCAAATTCTTTTTTACAAGTTGATTATCTCAATCCCAAACAATCTAGTTTAGAAATTCAGTCCAAATCAAAGTCAGCAATAATTTATTGTATATGTCATGACCCCTGTCAGGTGAAGGTTGGCACCTCAAAAAGTAATATGGGACACAATAATGGATGGATGGATGGATGGATGGATGGATGGATGGATGGATGGATGGATGGATGGATGGATGGATGGATGGATGGATGGATGGATGGATGGATGGATGGATGGATGGATGGATGGAATTCAATATATTGGGTCATAATTCCATTCTAGTTCTATTTTGGTGGTTTTAAGCCAAAAAGGAAACCTCTCATTAAAACGAGATTATGATTTATGTTACTGCCATGTGGAATTTAGTGCAATTGACTTTTCTTTGGTTAATTGCCGAAATGCATCAGGGGGTATTGGGCGTAAAAACTTTAATTCAAAACAAAAAGGGGGCGGAACCACTGGCCTTAAATATTATGTTTTTTTTTGTTGTTTTTTTTTAGAAATTTACCATCCATGTTTAAAGGGTTTCATTTTTGGATAATTGGTGACACATGAGCCGCAGTTGATTCATTTTTAATGAGCTACAAAGAGTTAAAAAATGCTCAAGGAGACAAACTGACTCCTTAGTGATCAAGCCTTTGTTTGATTTTAATAGAGAGAAGTAATAGGTGAATAAAACTACAGATTAATTGATAGGAATGGCATTTCACTATAATAAATATACCCCCCCTCCGTGTATGTATATAGTATGTATGATACATGTCAAATACAGATGTCATAGAGTGCGTATAGTGTATTTTTATACTTGCTTTGTGGGAGATATACCGGTACCTAAAAATGTTTATTTGTGTGGCTTTAAGAGCTGGCAGTTTGGAGATTTCAGCAGTAGTTTAGAAGCTTATCCTGAGTGGCATGTGGAAGGGAAGTTAGCCGCTTCGGGAAGGTAAAGTAAGCAGCCAGGTGCTGTGTTGGCAGTAAGGGGCCGAGCTGTCTGAAACAGGAAAACACACTGAAAACCGATGGTAAGATGGAAAAAGAAGCTGAGGGTGTGGTGCAGGAGGGAGACATGCTGTGAGGTTTGGCTTCATGCATAGTTGGCAGTGTTGCTGCATAAGGTAGTGGTTGCTAGATGAGAGCAGATCTAGAATTCATTTGGAATAGTTGATATGTCAACATAATCAGCTGTTAAAGTGGGACAAACTGCCTAATTTACACTGGCCCACAAGGTTACAAGCCGAATCCTGCAATGATCAAAAACAAGCTGGAGGAACAGACACAAAGCAAAAGCAGCTAAACAAAGGGCTCGCCCAGTGTTGTCGCAGTTATGTTTTGTAATAAGCTGGCAGGCAGATAAAATACTCACATTTAAATTCTGTTGTCAAAACCTTTTTATAGGAATACAGTATTACAGCAGACATTCCTAACCCCACAAGTGTGTGGTCTTGATGTAAACACAGCTTTATTTATTTCAAGCAGATGCATAGAAATGGACCTTTCATTTCTGATTAGAAATAGCTGTATGTAGCAGCTAAAGTGATGATTGCTCTAGGTGTATTTCTGCATCTGAGTCATAGCAACAAACCCATCTGCTCCAAAGGGTTCTTATATGCCTGATAACTATGAATGATGTTGTGTTTAAGGACTGGATGTCCTGGGCAAAAAGTCAGCACTCAATTAGATCATTGGAAAAACAATTTAAAGGAGACATTTTAGTAGGTTGAAATGGGATATTAGGCCCACACATTTCAGGATGTTGCATAATAAAGCAAGATGTCTGCTTTATTACTAGTGTTTACAGGTGGAAGTATTAAATACTGCAGGTCCGTTTGTCTAAAAACACCACAGTGCTTAGCAGCTTTGAAATTTATTACTTTCTCTCTCAATTGTTTTTTTTTCCTTTCCTTTAGAAAAAAAGTGTTTAGTGAAATGACCTGTAACAAAATATGGTTATTCATCTATCTGAGTTTTTGCAGTGATTTATCAGTTATGTCTTTTTTTTATTGTTCTTTCTTATTAAACATTTTTTGAAGTGGTGCTTCGAAGAACAACTCTGGAAAAATCTGGAGAGTGTACTTACCCCTGTTAGTGCCAGGTATATGATGTAAAGAAAAATAATGGTAGACTCAAGGACTTATTTCAGTTTTAATGTGACATTTTCCCTAGTTATCAATACAATATAGAACTAAACCAAAAATAAAAAAAGTCCAACAACTCCATAGCGTAAAGAGAAGTTTAAAAACCCTGTTTTACAAAAAAAAAAAAAAGGAACAAAAGTATCATCACAGCTATGTTTTGTAATAAGCTGGGGGCTCTAAAATGATCATATTTAGTTATTTCATCAAAACTGTCTTATTTTAGGGTAGATATCTTTAAATAAAATTCCAGCTTTAGTTAAATTCCATTTTGGGGCTTTACTAATCTACTTGAAAAAAAAAAAAAACATTTTCAGCTAAAAACAGTAACCGCAGAGCATAATGCTGCCCTCACCATGCTTCTCTGAGGTGCTATTTTGTTTTCGGTAAGTGTTTAGCATACCTTTTAGATTTGCAGCGATCGGTTGTTACTTGTACAAAAGAACCAGTCCTTGCTGGAAATTCTTGCTGTTCCAGTTGCTTTGTTACTCTAAGCCTATTTGGACACTCCCTTTGGAGCCTTTCACTGGTTTCCACTATGCATTAAAAGCTCTTTACATAACACCTCGTGCAGTTGATCGACAGTTGGGATTTATTGTGGAAATGTTAGAAATTCAAGATTCTGGCAAAATTAATTTTCATTCCTTACTGATATTTTCTCAATTTCTGTTTAACACCCCGTAAAGATCACTTTTATCTGCCCACCTGATGGCTTGTTAAGATAGAAAATGCAATCAAACAAATGTCTCCTTAGAGATATGTGTTCTTGATCCAACTTAGGTAAAATAGACCCCCCCCCCCCCCTCCCTACAACACACACGCACACATATAAACCTACCTCTCATATATCTGAAGTAAGAGGGAAACAGTTATGTACAATGTTTAGCACATTTCTGCCTCGTAAAGGCAAGTTAAACATGAATCAGAATATTTTTAGGTGACAAATGACGCAAGAACATGTGGGGCATGACATTGATTTATGGTTGCTACGTAAAAGGATATGATTCAGCCAGGCATCATACTTCAACTTAGAATACCACCAGGACTCCTGTGCTTTAAATGTCATCATTTTTTTTACCATTTTATTGGCTAGACTTAAATTATTCCACAATGTGTAAAAGTTAAACCCCGGCTGTCGTTTGGAAATATAAATCCTCCTTAGCAATAATGGCCTCCGTGTTTGGGCAGAAAGAGTAGATGGCAACACCTGAACAACCTCCAATAACAACAAAACAACAGAAATAAAGACTGAGTCTTTTATATAAAAAAAAGAAAGTAATCTCAGCACAGTAAAGAAGTAACAGAACTATGAGCTCAAATCGGTTTTGACTATTTGAGTTTCATCAGCATAGCAAAGTTTGCGTCCTTATAGAATCCAACTCCAGCATGCAGCGGATTAGTGAATGCGTTCTGGACTCTGTGGAGAAGAGTCATTGTTTTAGAGACACTGTAGAAAGAGAGAGTACCTGCTCTATGATCGAGGTAAACTCCTACTCTGGAAGAAACAGGACCTGAAACTGGAGTTTTGATTTTGTTGTGCCAAAACATGTAACCATTTCTGTCACAATACAAAGACCAAGATTTATTGTTGGAACGAAACTCACAGTCATCTAAGTTCCCTAGTCTGCCAATTTGTTTGTATGCGGCTGCTATGTCAATTCGTTTCCCCCTCCACTCCACCTCCCAGTAACAACGTCCAGTCAGGCTCTCTCTGCTCAGGACCTGGACCCAGGCAGAGAAACGGTCTGGATGATATGAATAAGACTGTTCTTGCTTCATTACTGTTGCTTTTCTGTTTCCCTCGGATAAAATCAAATGTCTGTTTGCAGTGTGTAGATCCAGGGTGATTTCTTGTGCATATTTTAAGAATTCAGCTCTGGTCTTTGGTTCTGGATCCGAAAGTAAAACATCAACTTCAGTGACTACCTGAGAGATGTTTGTCCATGTGTCTCTCAGGATGTTCTGTAGTTTATCTCTGAGCTCTGACACGGCTGCTGTCACATCCTTAAAGTATCTCAAAGGACGGACGTTGATGGATGAGTGTGTGGATTCACTAAACACTGAGGGTGATGGGTAATTGTGGAGAAACCAGTTGTCATCTGTGCTTGAAAGCTGCTTGAGCTCAGCATCTTTCCTCTTTAGCTCGGCGATCTCCTGCTCCAGCTTCTCCTCAAGCTCTTTGACCCGCCTCACTTCTGTTTGCTGTTGGAATCTGATCTGCTGCTGCACGTCACAGCTTCTTTTCCAGGTGAGATTGATCAACTCAGTGAAGATCTTCTCACTGTCCTCCACTGCTTTATCAGCAGAAAAGTTAATGGCTTCCACCTCCTGATGAAGCAGCTTCATATCTTTCTCCCTCTCGTGGATTCTCTGCTGGATTTGCTGTAGACTCACCTGGAGTTTCTTCTGCTTCACAGTAATTTCTACCGCAGATGGATTGTTTTTATGGCCTTTATGTTCATTGGATATGCAGAGACAACACATACAGTCCTGATCATGAGAGCAGCTGCTCTCCTCAAGCTTCATAGAGGGGTCCACTAACTTATGCTTCTGTAATGGTGGAGCATCATAGTGAGGTTGCAGATGATTCTCACAGTAGGAAGCTGGACAAGATAAACAAAACTTAACAGCTTTCAGCTTGATCCCGGTGCAAACATCACAAGGCACATCTCCTGGTCCAGCGAAGTGATGATCAGCCAGATCAGTTTGGAGTCCTGTCTTCTTTAGATCCTCCACTAAAGCTGCTAAGATTGTGCTTTTCTTCAAGACAGGTCTCTTTTTAAAGCTCTCTCTGCACTGAGGGCAGCTGTAAATTTTCTTGCGCTCCTCTTCATCCCAGTGGGTTTTGATACAGATCATACAGTAGCTGTGTCCACAGGGAATAGTCACTGGATCCTTCAGCAGATCCAAACAGATTGAACAGGAATATTTGTCTTCGTCAAGCTGAAATCCTTTCTGCGCCATTTTCCACTCTCAGCAACAATGACTGAAAATTTTTACTTCCTTGAAACAAGGATCGGTTTAAATTCTGATCTAAAAATATGCTGCTGCTTTGAATCTCACTGGTTACACCCATCACTACGCTTGTAGATCTGAGTGGGAGGAAACAACAAAAAAAAATTCTCAGGCTGTTTCTAGTCAAAAACAGGAAAAAAGGGAGGAGTTTGTGAATGACGCACTGTTTTTAACCTCTGTTCATATTAAAAAACAAAGGACATTTAAAAATAGCAATAAAGAACAGAAACTATCCCAAGTGATTTGAAAAGTTAATAGATAATTCAAATAATGAATAAATGAACACAAAAAAATATAAACATATATGCATTAATTAGATTATACAGTTTAAAATCTTTTTAAACAAGCTTATTTATTAATGGAGCATTTATTTATATTTTCATTTTTTCTTAAATGTGGAGGAACTGGTCCACCATATTAATTGGCAGACTACATTCTGAATCTTGACCCTGTCAAGGTCGTATCTGGACCTTGGCCTACATTTGCATTTTAATGTGCTAAGCAAAAGAGGAAGATTGCCATATTAAAAGAATTCGATGTAACAGCTTAAAATCTGAAGAAAAAAGTCCTACTTTTACAGAAGTACTTGATCTCACCTCACAAGTTTGGAATTTTCTTTGTTTTATTTCCTTACAATGCAAACTTTCATGAGTGTGAAAATCTTTATAATTTGTTTTATTTATTTTTTTACATGGTGTGCAGTGCAGGTCAGAGGTTTTTATACGTTTATATGAAGCATGGAGCTTATTAATTTTGATCATGAGCAACTGTAGTTTGAAAAGTCTGAGTTTATGCACCTTTTTTGTAGCCATCAATGATGTCCTGTGATAATTATTGCTGAATATTTATTATTCGAAATGGCAGAGCTCATTTAAATGTGATTAGGTTTTCGGCTGTAGAGGTTCTGGAGAAACGAGGAATAAGCTATTCCAATGTTTGAGGCTATCCATGTTTTTCCATTCTGAAATCCAGCTCCCGTGTGTCCCTGATAATACATATTTAATACATAAGACAATAAACTCTTTAAAAGTTGTAATATTCAAGGTTCTGGTTGTGGTAAGCTGGTCCAAGTAAAACAGACCATCCGTATGATACCACCTCATTCATCTTCTGATGACTAGAGTGGTGTTCTTAGGTTTGAGAGTATCGTTCGACTCTTTCAGAAATATCTAAAGTATCTGCTCAAAAGAAGCAGAAATTCGAAAATATAAAAATAGAATCATTTGTATTTAATATTTTTTTGTAAAAGTGACACAAAAAAAGGCAAGGAGAGGAAAGTTTATTTATATGGTATATTTCAGTGGCAAGAGAATTTAAAGGGTTTTACATGAGAAAAAGAAAAAGGGAAATGCATTGCAGTTGCATAGAGTCAGCACACAGTAATTACAGAGAATAAAAGTGAATAATTTAAATTAGATGATTATATATTAAAGACATTTAAAATAATTAATAAAAAAAAAAAAATATATATATATATATATATATATATATATATATATATATATATATATATATATATATATATATATATATATATATATATATATATATATATATATATATATATATATATATATATAAAATATTGAATGAAAGTTGGAATGGAAATTTAAGTAATAGTGTTCAGACATCAAGGTCGCTCTAAACAAATGTGTTTTTAAATCGTGATTGAAAACTACTGAGGGTTTCAGAGCTTTTACAATTTTTTTGAAGTTTATTTCAGATTAGCAGAGCATAAAAAACAGAGGAAATAACATGCAGGTAAAGAGTCTTGCCCAAGGACACAACAATAGGCAGTGGAGGTTCAAACTGGCAACCTAGCAGTTACCGTGGGAACCTTCACCCCTACACGTAGATCATTTTCAAGAACTTTTTCATCTTTTCTATTTTTCTGTTCAATTATACAAAATAAGTTAAAAGGGGATGATGCAAGTTGCTTGTTTATTTATAGGGATATTTGTGTACACTTGCTGTGTGATATTTGTTTTACATGTAGAATTGACAAAATAAAGCTTTGTAATAAAATCGTTGGGTAGAGCTGTAATAGTGCATATTATGTAGTAGCCTAGAAAGACTGAATCTCTTTTTTGTTTAACAAAAGGCAGAAAAATATATTATTTCCCCACTTCTGCCCCTCAGTAGCTATAATACCAGACTAGAGTATTTTTTGTTTTTTACTCGTGGAACAAAAAAAAATTTAATTCAGGCTTAAACACTGCATGTGTTCTCAGTAAAATAAAAATTGGATGATTCATAATTGAGTGAGGGCGGCCAGAATCAGGGCCAGCTGCTCTGTATGCCTTTGACGTCTGCGTTAATCTATGAGTTTTGTTACGCTCCATTTTTGCCTTTTCTTTCTTCATGCATACAAGAAGCCTCCAGTCTGCTGAAACACCCTGGCACTGTTGCCATAGTGGGCTTCAGGTTTCAGCATTTCAATGCCTTGAAGTGTTGCAGATGTCTTCAGTAAAAACACATTAACTGGAGCAGAGTGGGACTTTTTAGAAAACATTTCAATTCACCTCAAGAAGTGTAAAAGGTGTCTTACTTCAAGTGTGTGCAGTTATAGAAGTGACTCTCCACACATCTACAGGCCAAAGAAAGTGTCCTTAAGGCAGAGCAGGGGAGTTGTCAGGTTTCCTTAGCATCTGTTAACAAAGTATAAAACTCAACATGTTGCTTAGAAAGGGATTTTTTTAGTGAGCAAGGTGAAAGAAAGGAGATATTTTGGAGTAGGTCACATCAGCTACATCATTACCTCCTCAGGGCATGTCAGAGAGGTGACCATCAGCCTTCTCAGAGTACATCCCAGATTGTTTTCCTTTTTTTTTTGTTTCTTACAGTCAATCTCAATCTTATACAACTCAGCGAACAGGGCTGGGCCTTTTGCTCTCTTTAGTTTGCATCTGCTCTGGTATCTGACACTCTCAGACAGCCAGCATTGCTCAGGTAAAAAGATGGTTTGCCCACTGAACTGTTATTTGTCTTATACAGTCCTGCTCACAAACTCACACACACACACAAAAAGAAAACACTTTAAACATTCTCCTGAGCTAGTTAGGCCACAAACGTTCAGTTTCTGGTACTGATTTTAAATGGTTAAAATAATATTTGGATAAAAAGTAGAAAACAAAGTGTGAGCAAATCCCACATCAATATCAAAAGGTGTTTGGATAATAACCCTGATAAAGGCACTTATCAGTTGAACACATATCTTTATAACACCTTTTTATGTATTTGAATGTGTTCCACTAAATAAATATGACACTCAGAGCTTTTTGTTTTTCACAGAACCTCTAAGGAAATACGTATATTTTCACATCTCTAAGAGATCTAAGAAAGTTTTAAGTAGCTAAAAAAATTATAAATGTTTTCACATTTTGTAAAGTAATGGAGATCTGAAAAGTAAAGAATGCATTAATCACTATGATAAAATATATTGCTACATGTATTTGAGGTATGAAAAACATATCCTAACTTTGCACAAATTTATGCCCATTATTCTTGTTACAGGTAGCATTGCTCTAACTTGGGCAGATTGCATATATAGATTGTCTGTGCAGAGTCATAAATCAAACAAGCCGCTGGGAACCTTTAAACACATAAATGTGCTTTAGCTTAAACCATCCTTTAGTTGATTTAGCAGCATGTTTAAAGATGTTTGCTGACAAACTTTAAATATGTGTTGCTAAGGCTTTCTTGTTGCCTTTACAGATGGCATGATATTCATCAACAGGTTGTCCTATATGAGCTATGGATCTCTGTAGCTCTCACAGAGTTACTAATATCTTGGGGAGTGGTGGCCTAGTGGTTAGGCATAGGCTGCCAATCTGGGTCTCTGAGCAAGACCTTTAACCGCACACTGATCCCTGGGTGCCCAACGATGGCAGCCCACTGTTCCCCAATGGGGTGAGTTAAATGCAGAGGTAAATTTCTCCAATGTGACATCAATCCTTTTAGGTCAGGTGAGACAATCATGTTTTGATATATTGCCAGGTGTGCTTCTTTTTGTAAAATGGCTTATAAGTGGACATTTAATTATGAAAATCTGTTGATTAAAAAGCCTGTTAAAAACATGGTTTTACTTTCTTGTCCTGGCTGTAGAACAATGGAAAGGAAACTGGATGGAAAGTTTTCTTGTTCCACCAGTGAAGCCAGTTATTATGGAGCCCTTTTGTAAATTAGTGCATTAGCTAATTGCCATGGGCACATTGTTTTGTCTGCAACCGGTCTAGCATCTTTTAAGGTCTTTATGATGCTGTTTGCTGACTAATGTTGTCAAAGGAAACAGCTGTACTGAGGTTGCTTAAAATATGAGAGATATCTGAAAATAGTTGCTTAGTCTCAGTTATTTTTTAGGCAAACACAGGTGTTGTAAAAGTATGACAGAGAACTAGCACACGATTAAAGAGAATTCTGTTTTTGACATGCTGTAATATCATGGCAATAAACTAGTAGAATTAAAAGACATAAGTCGTTATATTATAAGAATAAAAACACAACCTTACAAAGTCGTAATCTTATGAGAATAGAGTCATAATCTAATGAGATCAAAGCCATAGTAATGCAAGTTTAAAGATATCACAGTGTGAGGTAAACTCAAAATATTGCCAAAATAACTTCATAATATTAGCAGATAAAAATCATAATTTACGAGAATAAAGTAAATATAATTTAATAAAAACCTGTGCGCTGCATTGAAATGGGGACTGTTTAGAATCTTGTGAAGTTATGCCTTCATGTTGGTTAAAAAAAAGGAAGAGATAAATCTTTTAGCCCATCAGCATCAAATTTTTATTATGTGAAGAAACGCAGCTCAGATTGCTGTTTGGTAGTTTGGTTGTGCTGCTCAGATATTGTTCAAAGATTTTTATTCTGAATGGACTAACCTGACGACTTTATTCTATCATGACCTTATTCTCATAATATAGCAAGAGTAAAGTCATCATTTTACTTCTTTAATCTTAATCAAATTCTAGTAATATAAAAACATAAACTTGCAATCTTATGAATTCTAATTATTATTATTTATTTTTTTCTCGTAGTCTGGCCCTAATAGTCTGTCCTATTAACAAGCGCCATACTTTTCAGATTTTTGTTTACAAAAAAAACATACACCCAAAACAATTAAACTTGGACTTCACAGTTTACAATTTATTCTGCCCTCATTTATTATTCTATTAGATATTCGACTTTAGGAATACACAGAAAATTATTGTGTATTATGTGTTGCCTTTCTATAAAGTAGGTAAAGATGTTAGGATCTTTGAAAAATAAGAAGTTCTATTAGTTAAAACACTCTTATATGTAGACATATAGAGAGCAAAGAGACATTTAGAAATACGAAGTTTAAATGGTCACATACAATATTAAAATTAAAAATTGTGATATAGCAAATGCATGAATTATTTGCATGCATGCATGCTGTTTTGTTTATTGCCCTCATTTAATGTTCTTTTTTATTTTGACAAATGACAAAGGGTTCAGAATGAAGTCAAAAATGCACCTTAAAGGGATCTGTTTGAATTTCATAAGATATATTTGTTTAAAATTATAGAAGAAAAACAACATTCTAGGTGTCCTAAGATTTTTCCTTATTTTCATCTCTTATAATTGTTTCCCTTTTCTCCTTTATTTTCTTCAGATTCCTTGCCAACACATCATTTGAGGGCCAGAGTGGTTTTATATCCAAAGAAAGCCATAGTCAGAATATCATCTCAGAGGCCCATCACTACATCTGGTCTCTCCAGCTGGACCCTCTTGGCCAGCCAACATGGACTCGTCTCGGACGTTGGCGTCGAGGGAGAGTTCTGATGGACCAACGCGCCTGGCCAAGTCATCAAGGGTCTGGTGGCGGGGGAGATTGGCGTCGTTCTGCTCGATTGCACATGCGAGTGGTGACTTTAGTGGAGCACCCTTTCGTTTTTACCCGTGAGGTTGATGGTGATGGACTGTGTCCAGCAGGCCAGCTGTGTTTGGACCCACTTACCAATGAATCATCTGTTTTGCAAGGGCTCTTTCAGAAACTTTCAGGGCACAATGGATCTGTTCCTACAGAACTGAAGAAATGTTGCTATGGATACTGCATTGACCTGCTGGAAAAGCTAGCAGAGGATATTGGCTTCACATTTGACCTGTATATTGTTGGCGATGGGAAGTATGGAGGATACAAGAATGGTCGTTGGACAGGATTGGTGGGCGATTTACTAAGTGGTGCTGCCCACCTGGCAGTGACATCATTCAGCATTAATTCAGCCAGAAGTCAAGTCATTGACTTTACATCACCCTTTTTCTCCACCAGCCTGGGGATTCTGGTCAGTACTACCTCTCTCACTCTGATTTCTTTTTGATTGCTTGTTGGATTATAGTCCTTACTCTTCATTTCAGTCACTTTGTGGTCCATCGTTTTTCACTGTGTGTCATTGCCTCCCCTAAATTCTTTCTGCTTGGCATTCTGGTGGTCACTGTCGATATGACAGTGCTTTATTACAGCATGTATTGAAGCCTAATACAATTCCTTATACGGGGTTGGACTGGTGAGTGCTCCGCTTTGTGAGGTTCCAATTACTTCAATTACTTTAGCTTCTCCCAACAACAGAGAGGACATAATGATTGTGGTGATCATTCTCCTTTCTTACCTACAATGTAACTGCGAATCTTAAAATGCACCTTTAGTTTGACCGACAGTCGACTGGAATACTACAATTTACTGATTTGTTTTCCTCAAAAATTTTAACAATTATAATTTTTAAAGCATTCTTTCAAAATGATTGCTTTGTTGTTTTGTTGATTTAAAGCACGCTTGTTTAAATGTTTTTTTTTTTTTTGCCTGTGTAAACTAATGTACATGTTGTTGACATAGAATGAAGTGAAGGGCTATTTCATGATTGCCCCAACGAAATAAAGACATGCCCAATATCCCATAATATATCCAATAATACTGTAGTGTTAGGACCAAGATGTTTTGAATTGTAAAGTTGTAACATCGGCACAATGGTGTTATCTCAATATAATCTTTTAATTTCCACATGAAAATTTGTCTAAATCCATCATATTGAAAGAATGAAAAAATCGCCCAAATTAACCTGAGATCGCATCCCAAAATTATGAAGCATAAAAAAGCAAATCTTCCGAAAAGAGGTAGTTAATTTCATGAAAACAGATATCAGTGCATGATAGTTTATTTTGGGGTAACTAATCTGACAATTCACTGACACTTGAATTACTACACTTTACTTTAAATTACTTACTTTTACTTTACTACATTACTACCTAATGAATGGCTCTTAGGTGTTAGAATTGGATTGTGTCTACTTTTGGTCTATTTAATGCTTAAGCAAAAACAAAACAAAAATTTCTACTCTACAAAAAAAAAGAAAAAAAATGCCTTAAAGTTTTAGACTTACATGTCATCACAGGTCTAAAACGTAGTATATTTAAAATAACGCTAGGATTGTTTTTTTTTTTAACAAAAAAATATATAGTTAAAATAAATCAAAAAGTATATATAATATAATTTTAGTGCTGTCAATCGATTAAATTTTTTAATCGCGATTAATCGCATCAATGCCTGAGTTAACTCGCGATTAATCGCATTTTAATCGCACATTTTTTTCCTGATTGAAAATCATTTAAATACTCTCGATGACATACAAAAAAATACATACAGGCTAGGTTTGTGCCAATGTTCTTTTTTTAAAATGAAAACAGGTCACAGATACTGATTTATGCCATAGAAACATATGGCAAGAAGATGGGGAGGCATGTAGCAAAAAATAACAAATATGTAGGCAAAAAAAAGGCCCTGAAAACAGGCTGATGTAAAAGACAGTCTTTACAGTTAATACAGTCTTTTGAACAAAGACAAGCATTTTACCCTACTGCTATAAAATTTAGTAGAGTTAACATTAGATGTTAATTAACCAAGGTAATAATGAACAATTTTCAATCAATACATCAAAATCAATAGACCGACATCACTAGATGAAGGTAGTCTATGCTCTCTAGAAAGTTACTTTTCAGCCTCTTAACAAAAATGAGAACACACACACACCCACTCACCCACACACAGACACACCCACCCACACACACACACACGCGATACCGACCTGTTGCGTACACAGACGGCAAGAGTGCTGCTACGAGATTCCATTTCACCTCAGTAATCAGTTTTCTCAGCGTATTTCAGGTTGCTACTACACTCAACTTGTTTGTTGGTGGTGGGGCTTAAAGAAAAGGCACTAGCGTCACCCAGTGTATGAGCGTCTTTTTCCCTTGAGGAGCTCCGCTCTAGAAGCCTATGAGAAATGCATAGACTGGGGGAAAATAGCCCCGCCTTCCCGCAGGCTGCAGCGGGATGTACTTGGAAAAATTGTACCATAAAACCACATAGCGTTAATCTCACGTTAAAAAAATTATCGCCGTTAAAATGGCCTCGCGTTAACGCGTTAATAACGCGATAATTTTGACAGCACTATATAATTTTATGTTTCAGGTTAATCAGTTCTAATGTTTCTTCTGTCTCTTTCTTGTCCTGCCTAGGTTCGTACCCGTGACACAGCAGCCCCCATCGGTGCCTTCATGTGGCCCCTCCATTGGTCTATGTGGCTAGGCATCTTTGTGTCACTCCACGTCACTGCTGTCTTCCTCACCCTGTACGAATGGCACAGTCCCTTTGGGATGACTCCTCGAGGACGCAATCGCAACCGTGTCTTCTCTTTCTCCTCAGCCCTAAATGTCTGCTATGCTATTCTCTTTGGAAGAACAGTAGCCATCAAGCCCCCAAAGTGCTGGACTGGTCGTCTACTGATGAACCTTTGGGCAATCTTCTGTCTTTTCTGTCTGTCCACCTACACTGCTAACTTGGCGGCTGTCATGGTCGGGGAGAAAACCTACGAGCAACTGTCAGGGATACATGATCCAAAGGTAAAAACACATTCTATGTGATTAGTTTTCCACTTACATTTATATTGCATTAATTTCACCAAAGGGAAAACAGAAGTGTAAATCAGAATACCGTGAAGGCCAAAACTAACAAGAAACAGTAGACTGCAACTGAAAAAACTATTAATGCTTTCACAGGTATTGAAAAGGTGAAATCTTCATTTCTCTCTTCACCTCTGCAGTTGCACCATCCCTCTCAGGGATTCCGCTTTGCTACAGTAAGAGAAAGCAGTGCAGAGGACTACGTCAAGAAGAGTTTCCCTGAGATGCATGAGTATATGAGAAGATACAATGTCCCAGCAACACCTGACGGCATACATAATCTAAAGTAAGACAAAGGCAAAGAAAGAGAAAATACCATATGTCATGCAGACACGCATAAAAGCAAGTTTTTTCTGATCCATATTTTGATGTCATCTTTCATCACGTTAACCCAGTTAAGATATCTCTTTCTGTCATTTTTGCAAATCTGTAAATGGTGTCTCACTTGATAAAACTGAAGATGCATGCATGCCGAGGGAATGTCAATATTTATAAAACAGAAAGAAAAATAGAAAATGTTCAAACCTATTGCTGTCATTCTAAAGCACAAGCATGTCTGTTCACATTCAGAACTCATCCTCCTCTTTACCCTGCCACTGCTGTCATCCTAAGCTGCTTCAGCATTCAGCAGGCATCCCTGTGGAGCATGGCTGAATAAAGTGAGAAAAGGCAGCAGCAACACAGGCTGTGGCAAGGACACAATTTGAAAGGATGAAAAGTATATATACAGTAAATGTACACTGAGATAACTAAATTAGAGCATCACAGGATTAATGTCATCTTTAGAGAATCACAATTTGGCATCAAGGAAGCATACATGTGTGATGCATAATTATCCATTGTGTTTAGACGCAGTGATTTTAATCTGCCTTTTTTGTTTTAGTTCTAACATAATACCACAATACCAGAGAAAGAAGTTCACAACTGGAAATATATTCAACAAGAAGTGAGGAAGTTTGGAAAAAACACAAGCAGACAAGAAATAAAATGTTTATTGATGTTGCATCTTTCAATGATAAAAATCCCAAAGTCCCAAGTAAAATAAATTACAAAAATGTGCAAATTAATTGTAATCATGTGTAAATAAGCATTTCTTGAGTTTCTTTTAGAAGAGTTAGTGGATTCTGTGGAACACAGAGGAAAGGAGTTCCACATCCTCAGATCCTCCGCCTCTTGTGATACAGGGTTAGGATCCAAAAATCAATTTCCACATGTCTGTAAAGGAAAGATCTACCTTTAAGCTTTATGTCCCCAATTCTTTCATGAGACGAGATCACTCGAAACAAACACTTTAAATAACACTTTATAATGTGTATGTATTAAATTAATATGAGACATGATAACAGATTTTGACAGAAATTATATTTGTGCTCAGACGAGGAAATGGCTTGGATTACAGATGGCAGCGCTTACCACCGGGCTTGTTCAACAACTAGGCCCAGAATACCAGTTATTCTAAAAAGAAGACTTTTATACATTTCCAATGTCACACCCTGCCACATTATCAAGTCTACCATTATTAAATCATTCACATGTTTGTACATGAGAAGACTGCATCGCCACAAACACCAAACGTCATTTAGAAATTGATTTTTAAGCTAAATCTGGTCTGTCTCTCATAGTCTGGATTTAGTCCAGACATACTTTACTGACTTACATACTTTTTAAAATTGGGCTGTATTTGGTCGGATGGATAATAGACATTCTCAGATCATCTAAAAGATATTGAAAACTGGGTTTTCAACATCTTTTCAGCGATCTGAAAATTAGAGATTTTCACCTTTTACTTTTCAACCAAATATAGATGTTGCTTGGATGTAAATCATGTTGTCTTTTTACTGTATTGTCAACCAATTTTTGCTCGGTGGTTACTGGCTCCACACATGTCAAGATATTACAGTGTTCTTAGATCAAGGACAGCTCAAATACACAGTGACAGAGCTATCTGTCAAGAATAATCCACTCTTTCTCTATGCTCTCATTTCATTCATTATATACTTACAGAACAGCCCTTATAAGATAATCTGCTTGGGAAAACTTGAGCCTTAACATGTAACAGGCAGGTAATATTGGAGTTTAACAAGAAAATACATGAATATTAAAAATTATCACAACATGTCTTAAAATCTGTGCAGGAGAACACCAGTATCAACTGGTTAGATTAGCTAGGAGGACAGGAAAAAGACTGGATTTCAAATAATTCCACAATGCTTTTAAGGGCCTGGCCATGGATTGCCCCATGGTTAAAGCCTAAATCTTTAACTGAAATTTAAAATGAACAGGAGGCCAGGATAATGTTGTAAGATCTAGCTTTAAACATAATAAAATAAAGTTGCAGTAGACTAAATTAGATGAAATAATAGCATAGCAGCAGACACTTATTTGCAGTTCTGTTTTTGTTTTTCCTTAAGTGAAAGAAAAAAGTTTTTAAAAAGACTACTAGGAAAACTACTTAGACAGCAACAGCTTCAAAGCTGGGAAATCATATATACATATCTTACAATTGTAACACACACACATATATTATATATATATATAAGATAGATAGATAGATAGATAGATAGATAGATAGATAGATAGATAGATAGATAGATAGATAGATAGATAGATAGATAGATAGATAGATAGATAGATAGATAGATAGATAGATAGATAGATAGATAGATAGATAGATAGATAGATAGATAGATAGATAGATAGATAGATAGATAGATAGATAGATAGATAGATAGATAGATAATATATATGTGTGTATTACAATTCTAAGATATGTTTTCCATAATCAATGTCAAAAACAAAACATACAATAAGCTAACCAAATGTGTTGTAATCTTGAAAAACAATATATAATAAAATTATAGAACTTAATCATCTTCAAAATTGAGTTCTTCAAAATGGAGTCCATTGTCTAAAGTGTTAAAACACCAATTCAAAAGCATTGCTCATTTAGGCTGGAAAACATACTTGTAAAAATAAGAAATACCATTACTTTCAGTAAATTTGAATTACTTGAAAGGTTGGTTCCTTTATTTAACTTATGTCACCAAATAAACAAATTATATAAAATTATTTCAGACAGGCAGATTTTTTCAAGCCTTTAAATCTTATATGTATATTAATTTTCTACTAACAACCAATGAAAAAACATAACATTTCTTTAAAGGTTACATCAGAAAGATAATATTTTTTAGATATCTTCTTCATAATTTAAATTTATAAAAGTTTATTTTAATTTGACAGAAAAATATCATTTACATTACTACAAGTTTTATTTTCAATCTAGAATAAGCATGTTTTGCGGAATAGGAGAAATATTTTTTCAATCATGTCAGTGAGTTGGTATGGTAACTTGCAAACTGGTTTTAAGGCAGAGGCTTAGAATTGCAAAATATTTCAATTTGCTATAATGAACTGCCTACCTGTGAGTTTGCGATGGAGCAACATCTCCAATGCTGTCCTTGATAAAAAAATAAAAAATAAAAACTGCAATAGAGTTTGAAAACCTCTTTTTTTTACCATTGTAAATTTCTGTTTCTGAAGGCCTTGCTAAAAGCTTTAGCTTTTAATCCTTTATAACATATTTGTAAAGAATCAATATAAACTGGTTGAACTTGCACACGCAGTGATTTTTCTGTGATTTGTATGCTTAAAATATTTTAGTGATTTAGAGTATATACCGAATGCCGTCTCACAACCCTAACTGGAAGTATTCAATGCTAATATAAGCCTGTTTTAGTCAAAACAGTGTCACAAAGTCATTTTCACACTGTTTCTAATCTTAAATCAGATTTAGATTTTTTATTTTTTTTTAAACAGCTAAAATTCTAAATTATTTTTGTATTAAAGTCATTTCTGGTGATGCATCTAGTGTGCATCTGAAAGGAACATAAGAATTGCTAAGCATTTTAATTGATAAATGTTTACATTATTTTACTATCATGCCATACAAAGTCAAATGAAAAACAAGACAGAGCAATAGTTCCAGGGTAGCAGAGCAATAGCAATAATCTGATATTATTGTAAAAGTTATTTGTCCAAAGATGATATTACCAATCTCAAGGTTGCTTGAGTTACAGATATCACCAGCTGATGAATGTTTGTTCAGGAAATCTGCCAAAAGGTTTTAAATGCTTAACAAAACACAAGGACAAAACCATCACAGCATCTTGAAAAAAGATAGATTACCTTCCTGCAGCAATGTCTAAACACCTTGAATGCATTATGCATTTCCATGTTTAGTTTTGATAAGACTTTGCAGAATAATGCCCCACTGTTTGCTCTTTACCCTGAGAAGTGCTTGCACAAATTGTGTCAACACTCATGTTTAATTACTACAGCTTGCTGTGGTAGATGAATGCTGGACACACGTTGAGTGCACTGCAGATGCTTTCTCATAAGTGCAGTTAAGAGAGCATTGTTGTACTCATTCTGTGTTCAGCTTGCTGCTCTTTAAGGCATTAAAGGAAGAAAATATTTATCTTTGGTGAATTTTTATCATTATTAAAAAACAAAACTATCCACTGGCAAAGGAAGAAAATAAACTCACACTATAATAACTTCGTAAAAGGATGCTTTTGTAAAGTAGTATTTAAAAATTCCTACACATAACTTATAACACATTTGCTAGTTTCTGTTTCATCTTCTTCCCCAATTCCTACATTATTTTAGTTGACAAGATAGTTTTTAAAATAGGCACCTCTTTAAAATAAATCAACCATCAGCTGGTGCAGGTTCAATTCAGATATGTATACCTCACCTCTGATGTGCATTGATCAGCGTTGCATAAAATAGGCTAATTGTACTCGTCGAGACTTGCCAAGACTAGGATGGCCTGGCTCCTTACCCTTTTTCTGATTCTGAGGGAATACCAGGCAACCCTGCATAGGAAGCTTATTTTAGATGTTTGACTCCAATATCTCATTCTTATGGTCATGACCCAGTTTTTTTTTTCCATAGGTAAATCATAGGAATGCAGAATGACTAGCAAATCCAGAGCATTTCCTTTTGTCTCAGTTTTTTTTTTTTTTTTTTTTTACAGAACAGACCAGTGCAGCCTCTGCAGTATGGCAGTAGCCACACAGATCCATCTGTTGATCACCTGCTTCATTCTATTATATCATATAAAATGTAATATTATAGTGGCTATTGTGATGTATTTTCTTAACAGAAAAACTTCTTGCAATATTTTCTCTTAAAAGTCCTTGAGGACAAAGATAAATCTGTGCATCACCTTTCGCTCTGCAACAACATCCATGGCCTTTAGCATATCAGTACAAAATGTAACTGCAATGCTATTCAATAGAGTAAGGGATGATGGTGACTCCTCTATAGTCCTCTCTCTGTCTTATTACAGGGCTGACCCTCAGAAACTGGATGCATTCATCATGGACAAAGCTCTGCTGGACTATGAGGTTTCCATAGATGCTGACTGTAAAACCTTAACAGTGGGGAAACCATTTGCCATAGAAGGTAATATCTTAAAGTTATCTCCTTAAATATTATTTGATTCTCACATACTCACATATGCAGGTAACTTTCTATCTTACGAGAAATAATTAAAAAACACACTTCAGGGCTAAAAATTGGAAATGATGGCCAATTAAAATAAATGTTTCACTACAAATTGCAAACTTGAAAGAAATTACAAACCAGGTGTGTCTTTAAAGATCTGATGTGCCGCCTGCTGCTCTATTTTCACTGTTGCGTGGCACTGTCAGCTTTGCTGGCAGCTCTGTCGGAGCTACACCCTAAATTGTTCTCTGATATCTGATGACAGCTGGCATTCTTCTTCTGTCTTTGCTTTGTCTCTCTCCGATACTGTAAAATATCTACAGAAAACATCAGGTTTTATACTGCTGTCTTTGTTGTCAGCCATTGTAGAATCAGGCAGAGAATGTGCTGGTGTTCCCCTTTCACATCTTAAAAGAATGTAACAGAACTGCAGAGCTTTTTCTTAACAACTCTTTATTTCATGGCACTTTTTTCTAAAAGAAAATTACCAGTGTAATCTTTTCATACATATGAATTATTAATAAAAGAAAAAAATTCCCAAGTACCTGAAAACTGATTTATGTCCTCATCAAGAAATGAAACACTAGCTGGAAGAAAAAGTTATCATTTTGGGAAAGGTGGGTAAATAAAATAATAGTACTGCAATGATTGCAGTTTTATTTTAAATGGCACACCATCAGTGGTTCGATTAACTCAATGCATTATTAATGGTTTTAATAGCAATATTAATGTGTAAAACATTGGAAATGTCATGGTCTACTTGGATGGAATAATAGTTCCAATAAGTGACATGCATTTATAATCTGCTTTTAAACAACACATATGTACATACAGCAGCAAATAGATTTTGGGGCTGGAAATGAAGGTTATCTACAAACAACTGCAATAACACTCACTATCTCTTCATTGCCCGTTTTATTTTTTATTGCATGTTATATCATAACTGGTAAAATGGTAAATGGCCTGCACATATATATAGCGCTTTTTCAAGTCAGAAAACTTGATCAGAGAGCTTTATGTTACTGACTGGCTGCCATACTTGCCGACTTTGTAAACGGCACGTAGCAACTCTTAGGGCTAGGTACAAAAAGTGTTTGGCGCGGAAAGAGTTAAAACTGTTGGTTCTATATTTTCTAATATTTTCTAACTGGCCCTTAAGATTAATCGTGGATGCAATTGATCAGAGTTAACACCCGCATGATCTTGTGTGTTTGTTGGAAGAAGATCTGAGGGTCTTCTTGTCACAAGAGGATCTCATCTCAGGGTTCATGAACAATTAGCAGACATCCTAAAGATAGAGTGCTTATTTTGAGTTTGTCTAAAACATGGCTTGTATTGCTTTCCCTTTAAACAGGTAAATTGCATTCAAATAATTGAATGCCATAAGTGAATGTGTTGATGCAAAATGGAGATTTATGGGTAAATATGGGTTAAAATTGTTTAGGTACCATTTTAGATCTACATGGGTCTGCTCTGTTGTTAATGGCAACCCCTGCTTTGACAGTTAATCCATAATCCAGTTGATGCTGCTTGTTACAATGCAGTTTAGGAGGACTGTAGACTGTAGAGAGCAGTACATGTGCCTGGAGGGCCTCTTATTGAGTTTTTTTCTTATTGCGTATGGAGGGACTTGGATGGATAAAACAATGGTTTGGTCTTTCTTAGTCAATTTAAAAATTGTTTATGGAAGCAAACCTAAAATGTCATGCCTATCAAGCTGTAAATTATTGTTAATTATATTACTAATTACATATATAAATACTAAATAAATAAATCTACCTAGCATACAAAGTAGGTTAAATGCTGGATGAAATGGTCCGTGCTATATTTCTTTTACAAATGGGCTTTATATGATTCACAGATGGGACCGGACCTCTTATGGTTGAATTAGTCTCTTGGAAAATAATTATTTATATTGAAAGATTTGATATGAACAACATTTTGTAGAAAGTTTCAATATATCAAGATATGAAATAAAAGGGGACATTTATTGTGAATTGAATCACATGCACAAAATTATTGTACCCCTTCTTTGATAAAATAAAAAAACACAATGGTTGCAGAAATAACTTGAAACTGAAACAAGTAATACTAAACGCAACTCGTTCAAAAATAAACAAATGAAATTCAGACATACTTTCCAACCATGCTAAAATAGAATTATTTGAAGAAAAAAATGAATGAAACAGACAGACAAAAATGGGCGTAAAGTAACCCTGTAGTCATGAAGAAATTAGTATTCATAACCCGGACAAGTATTTTCTCTAATTACTGGTAACCTATCTACATATAATAATATATTTCAACTTTATGAAAGTTATAAAAAGCTCTTTTTGTGCATTGATTCATCTGTTCAAAGATAAATTTACCAGCAGCAGAGCCCTTTGTGTTTCCAATTAGAAGATGACCTCTTATCTACTAAGTCATATCTGCCTTCATGCATGTTGTCAGGAACGGTGGAGACATCAGGGGGCACTTCTCAGCTTGGGAGAAAGATTTGATTGTTTTCTCTTCTGCAAATCAGTAAAGCAGAGCAAAAATAATTCCCCTTTCATTTCTGACTTTTCCCTCTGTGAACAATTAAAGTAATTCTTATTCAAAAAAGAAACATAATATTTTCTTAATTTGAATAATTAGCTATGTGTTTCTTAATATCTGTCAAAACGTTTAGTATTCTGAGTCAGCTTCCTTAGCTTTACCAAAAACTGCATATTGAGGTCCCCAGATGGAATTTTACTTTAATAAGAATCACTCTAGATTTTCAGATTTTTTTATTTTAAAAACACCTAAATTTAACAATATCAATGATTCACCCTTTGCATTAATCTTTCTGGCTTTCAAAAGCTTACACTCTCCACCGTCCACAGTTAATCTCAGGTCCATTTAGCGGACTGCTTCCTCCCACTGTGGAAATGTTCCCATGGTACCTGCTTCCATTACAGGCCACCACAGCCCTGGATTCCAGCACTGTTGTTAATTACTTAATGCACCCTTAAGCCTTCAGGATACAATACAAATCAATCAGGGAAACCAGGGTACTTTTGTAATTGGCTATTGCAGAATTTGTCACACTTTTCTGGGCTGCTGAGGCATGTGAAAAGATTTATTTTTACTCAAAACAGTGAAAAATATGTTGAGCTACATGTTTATACCTTTAAAAAGTGTACCCACTAATGAGTCTCCTTTGTGTCTGTGTTGCTGTGGGCAGGCTACGGCATTGGCCTCCCTCAGAACTCTCCACTCACCTCCAACTTCTCAGAGCTTGTTAGTCAGTACAAATCCGATGGCTTCATGGACATGCTGCATGACAAATGGTACAAGGTTGTGCCCTGTGGGAAACGCAGCTTTGCTGTAACGGAGGTAAGTGTGAAGGTGTTGAGTGAAAGAAGTTGATGTGTTACTTTTTATCTCACATAGAGAACAAAAGAACAATTTAACACTAAAAACTATCAAGGTGTTGACAACATTGTCATTTTTAGAGGCTTATTGTTGTATTTTTACAGTTCAAACTTTTACACATCTTCTCAGAATACAACTGCAAACCTTAACGTATTTTAATTTAATTATAATTGTTGCGCAGATCTGCTCATTAGTTCAGATGGAAGTGCATGAACAGACATTTGTGTGTGCACATACACACACACACACACATTTCAGTGTGCCACTCTGCAGCACTTCTCAGCAGGTGAAAGAAATCTGGCCCAATCAGCAGCACCCTCAACTCAGGTAATAAGGAATCCACAAACAGCTTTACTGGTTTTGCAACAGAGCTGAGGAAGGCAAACACAGCCTCCAAAGCAGCATTTCATGGGAAAGGACTTAAAAGGACTACCGGTAAGCCATTAACTGGGCTCAATTGATTGCAGACATTATCACCAGAGGGGCAGGTCCTGCTTACTTAACTGAAGACTCAGAGTGGCAGTTGGGTCCAAGTTTCCTTCAACTTCCTGAAATTGAGTGGCCAAAGAAATCTGCAAATGATGTTGCTGTGCAGGCAAGAGACAATGTTATAAAAATACAGAAGAAAACATTTGTTGCTGTACTTACCCGAAGTCAACTGAAAGAAGAAAAGAGTAAACTGATCATCTCTAGGAGGCCGCCTGCAGCTGCAGTAGCCCAGCAACTAGTGGACGTGAGCCACTTCAGCAGTTTGAGAAAACTGATAGGGGTAGTTGCATGGATTTGGAGAGCAGCAAAAAAGTTCCTGCATTTCAAGGTCACAGATAAAGAAAAGTGGGAGGCGGTCCCTTCATCTGGTGTCATTACAGTTGGTGAAAGACAAGATGTGTTCAGAGACCTATGCCTAGCAGCACAAGAAGGTGTACAATTTCCAACTACAACGACTGATAGACTTGTTGTCTACAAAGATGAAACAAGTGGGCTCTTGATGTGTGGCGGCAGAGTTCAGACTTTTAAGGAGGACCACAGAGGCGTTCCTCTGTTGCCCTTCCAATCTTGGATCTCCACCCTTCTAGCCCGAGCAGCACACAGTGAAGGACATGATGGAGTGGCAGGAACTTTGCTGCGTATGCGGAAGAAAGCATGGGTCATCAGAGGACGAGTCATTGCCAGAAAAGTTGTTGATGAGTGTGTACTGTGCAAAAAGATGAGAGCAAAAACCTGTCAGCAAATAATGGGGGATCTGCCTGAAGAAAGGTCTAATCCAAGTGCACCATTTCAGTTCATTTCTGTTGATTTGTTTGGCCCTTACCAAGTGAAAGATGACGTCAAGAAAAGAGTGAGCATGAAAGTTTGGGTTGTGTTGTTCTGCTGTATGTCAAGTAGAGCCATTCATGTTGAACTGGCAAACACGCTATCTACAGAGAGCTTCATACTTGCCTATCAGAGGTTTACGTCCATCAGAGGTCATCCCCAGAAGGTGTGGTCTGACCCAGGTACGAACTTTATTGGGGCAAAACCCATTCTGCAAGAAATGTATGCATACCTGAGGCAGCAAGACAAATTCTCACTTGAAGAGTATGCTGCAAAAAATGGGACTGACTGGACATGGAAAATTCTTCCAGCCGATTCACCACATCGCAACGGCGCAGCTGAAGCTGCTGTCAAGATCATTAAAAGAGCGTTACAAAGTCTTGGCAGAGTGGAAGGTCTTACCTTCAGTGAGTTTCTTACGACAGTTAAGCTAGCTGCCAATCTAGCCAATGAAAGACCTATTGATGATAGAGTACAGAGTCATGAAGATCGAATCCAGTACATCACTCCAAACACCCTGTTGCTCGGTCGAGCTACACAAAGTGGAGATTTCAAGACATTTGACTATACCACTTATCCCTTTAAAAGGCTGTGAGAAATACAAACTCAAGTTGACTACTTTTGGAGGTCCTGGAGTCAACTTGCAGGTCCCAAATTGTTTGTCCGTGGCAAGTGGCATACTGCTGAAAGAAATGTTGCTATTGGCGATGTGGTCTGGCTCTGCGACCAAAACACGCTAAGAGGGCAATTCAAGATGGGCAGAGTTGTTGCTGTGAATCCTGATTGCAAGGGCATAGTCCGGGATGTTTATGTGAAAGTTTCTCCAAGTGGGTATAGTTCAGGAAATGCACCCAAACCTTCTGTGAAATGTTCTGGATTGGTGAAGGAGGTTCAGGGCACCATACTCCATCGGGACGTCCGGCGCCTTGTAGTGCTCATCCCAGCAGAAGACCAAGCAGAGGGAACCAGCTTACTTAAAAAATGCGATCTTCCCAGGTAAAACCTTGCAAGATCGAGTGGGAGGTGTTGCGCAGATCTGCTCATTAGTTCAGATGGAGGTGCATGAACAGACATTTGTGTGTGCACATACACACACACACACACATTTCAGTGTGCCACTCTGCAGCACTTCTCAGCAGGTGAAAGAAATCTGGCCCAATCAGCAGCACCCTCAACTCAGGTAATAAGGAATCCACAAACAGCTTTACTGGTTTTGCAACAGAGCTGAGGAAGGCAAACACAGCCTCCAAAGCAGCATTTCATGGGAAAGGACTTAAAAGGACTACCGGTAAGCCATTAACTGGGCTCAATTGATTGCAATTTAACTGTAGTTTCAGGTTAGTTATTTCATTTAATTAAATGCAGAATTTATTGAAGTAAAAGTTTGCATTTAATTAAATGAAATAACTAACCTGAAACTACAGTTAAATTGCAATCAATTGAGCCCAGTTAATGGCTTACCGGTAGTCCTTTTAAGTCCTTTCCCATGAAATGCTGCTCTGTTCTGTTTATTGGTTCTCACTCATTGGTGAAAATAAAAAGACTGAGTGAATTCCTGATGTCTTCAAATCCTCCTTTTCAAGTGTAGGAAGCCATGAAATTATAAGACACTTGACAATAATATATATGACAAATAAACAAATAGTAGTACATAAGTATACATTTTTGTAGTGATTTTTTTAGGGGGGTAGCAGTGTTACTACAACATAACATAGATACATACAGAGGTTTCATGTTCAGATTGACACGGAGGATATTGTTTGAGGTCTCAACAACGTCCTGGTTTTAGTGAGAAAACGCATTGAGTCCACTCTACAACTCTTCCCCCCCTACAGTAATTGCTCTTCTGTAATTGAGACATTGGCCTCTGACTCCCCAGCTGCTAATCTATGGTGTCCCTATAAGCAATCAGTGCTGCATAAGCTGTAGATTTCTATAATTTCTTTGCAGGAATCCATTTTTGAGCTGTCCCTCTTCCTAACTAGAAACTATTTTGTAATCTCCAAAACTTGCTCTGGCTCTATAGAAATGCACAAATGAGAACCTTTTTATGTTTTTTCATTATTGCGCATGCTTTGAAGTGGATAAAGGTCAGCTTAAGTTATGCTGTTAAATATTCCATCTACCTAATAGGGACTTGTGGTCTTTACCTACAAGTGACAGCATCATCTCATTTTGAAAGCAATTAGAATGTAAATTATGTGTATAATATTAGTATGGGAAAGTGTACATTGGAATGCTCTAGATTTGGTAACAGCAAAGTGAGACATTCTCTCGTGTGTAGCCTCCTAGATGTGCTGTAGATTCTATCTTCACTTGCAGACATTTAAATTGCCCCAGGAGCATTTCCTTTTTCAGCATCAAAACCCAGTCTCCCTTAAGTTAAAGCTAATATTTTTTTCTTCACTTTTATCTGCCTGTCACTTAATATGACAACTTTTTTCCACACAGGTGCCTTGCAAAGATCACATGAGGATATACTGGTATATCGAATATTGTAGATGAATTATCTAAAATATAGAGTAAAGACAGATTTGGAATAAAATCTGTTTTACCTTTCATACACCTTTAACACTCAGCAGGACAACATCAGCAGGAAATGCCTGAGATATAACCTGCATGAATTACTGAGCAGTCTGGCTCAGTTTAGCCCTGGTCAGCATTTCTATTTGTTTATTTACTGTACATTTTTTTTATTAAGCCTAGAGATGAAGAAATGCTAGAAAAGACAAAAAATCAGATGAATTACCTTCCAGTGCTTTTTCCATACCCTCTGGGACTCATCCAGCTCTTGCTCACCCCAATAACCCATCAAAAGAGCAAGATATGAGTCATAAGAAAACAGATCTTAGAGACTAATGGTATGTGTTTCATTGCCTTGATGACAATAATTTGTCTGAAAATCTTTTAATTTAGGCTACAAGCTTTATATTCTAACTGCAGATCGTGATGACTATACAGATGTATGATTTTCTTTAAAAAGAAAAACGTACTTGCCACTATTTAAAAAAAAACTCACAAAACTCAATTTTATTGACTAATCTCAATCATTTATTTAACAAAATGCTTGTTAGGAACAAATTATACAGTAATATGTCTAGTGTGTGCCCCTGTGTGCGCCCCAGTCGAGGGCTTGCATATGTCCATATATAGGGGCTTTATTATTTATTTATTATTTATTTGATTTTATTATTCATTTATTAGGCTTACCATGGCGGCACTCCAAAGCAGCAGCCAAGAATAACTCCTCTTCACAATTTTACAAAATATGCTGCTTAAAACGATACAAACTAGACATCAAACCCGCATCTATGATTGCCGACGCCTGCTGGAGCTACGGATGCAAAATGTTTTAAATACTGACATTTTTGATTGTTAAAAAGCTGTGGAGTGCTTCAGACGGATTTTAACAACACAACAGCGGAACATAACTGCCGAAGGAAGAGATGCGCAAGACGGAGAAAGCAAGGCAGCAGAGGAGGGCTAACTGTGAAGCTAAAGAGAAATCCTCACAGACCTCCACTTCCCTCAATCATGCTCTCCAATGTCCGCTTGCTGGCAAACAAAATGGATAATCTCAGACTGGAACTCTCATCAAAGATCAGTAACTGCTGTGCCATCATTCTGACCGAGTCATGGCTGCATCCAGAAATACCGCACAATGCTATTAACCTGGAGGGGCCTAAGCCTCCTTGGTGTGTGGGGTCCCCAATAATGGGTGGTGTTCCCCCCTGGCCTCTGACCCCTGGGTTCTCATCCGGGTCCATCTTGGCCGCCAGCAGAGCCTATATGCTTGCTTCCACAACCCCGTAGGATCTAGGCACTATGGCCTACTAGGGGACAGGGCTCCTTTTGGGTTTGGTCCCTCGAGAGGTGGGCTCTGGGTGTTCTAGTCTGCCCTTCTCTGGTGGGTGTTGCCATTTCTATATCTGCCCTCCTTGTGTCCAACTAGTCTGGGATGCCTACAGTATGGAGATCGGTCCTGAGCCCTGATGGGTGAATCTGGGGACACCCACACCTGCTATTGCACATATTTTTCTTCTGAAGAAGCTTTGTAAATCATTTATACACGAGCATGCTCATGCATACATATCACAGGAGTTTGGTTCCATGTGATCACAGAAACACACCAATACTAAACACTAAACTGCAGCTAAAGATATACATTAAGGAAAATATGGATTTGAACACCCTGCTATTTTGCAAGTTCTCCCACTTAGAAATCATTGAGGGGTCTAAAATTGACATCATAGCGCATGTTCACTGGGAAAAACATAAAAAAAAATAAAAAAAACAGAAATCACAATCTAGGATTTTGTTTTTCCTATCATACAGCTGCAAATAAGTATTTGAACACCTGAGAAAATCTATGTTAATATTTGGTAAAGTAGCCTTTGTTTGGAATTACAGAGGTCAAATGTTTCCTTTAGCTTTTCAGGGGGATTTTGGAGGACTCCTCCGCACAGATCTTCTCTAGATCAGTCAGGTTTCTGGGCTGTTGCTGAGAAACACTGAGTTTGAGCTTCTTTCAAAAGTTCCCTATTGGGTTTAGGTCTGGAGTCGGGCCAGGGCACGCCAGAACCTTGATATGCTTTTTACAGAGCCACTCCTTGGTTATCCTGGCTGTGTGCTTAGGGTCATTGTCATGTTTGAAGACTCAGCCTCCACCCATCTTCAATGCTCAGACCGAGAGAAGGAGGTTGTTCCCCAAAATTTCTAAATCCATGGCCCGAGGGGTCTGATGTCAATTTCAGACCCCTCGATGATTTCTTAGTGGGAGAACTTGCAAAATAGCAGGGTTGTCAAATATTTATGTCCTCATTGTATACCACCCTGAATTAAACTGTTTAATCAACATAGATTTTTTGTCTTCAACACACATCTTGAAGCTTTTTTATGTTTATTTTGGTTGGCTGTTGTCTTCGTTTTGCTGTTGTTATGTTCTCTGTTTTAATTCACACTCATCTCATACAGGTATGGAACCAGACTTCTATGAGTTACTGTTGATCTTCTGTGATGTCTTCTCTTGCTGTTTACAGTGGTTTTATTTTTTTGTCTTTTCAGGCGCTGTTTCCTCTCTCTATCTTTTTTCTCTATCTCCTTAACTATCTCTTTCTCCCCTTCAATGGCACCATTGCCCCTTTTTCTTTCTCATATCATTTTCTGTGTCTGTTGTATTTGATTTTATTCTAAAATATTTTAATTAAAAGTTTCATATAAAAGTACTAAGTAGTCCTTTATGGCAACAGTCATAATGGTCTGCTTGTGAAGGCAAGTCTGTTGGGCTATCATCTAGCTCTGGAACATCTATTCCATGAGCTATATTAGCAAAAGCATATCATTTTCATTACAGGTCTATGCTTAAAGTGGAATCACAAGTTGTATCTATCTGGGTGTTCTGACTGTTAAATGTTCATTAGATTGACTATGTAGATTGTCTAGGTAAAGAGACTCTCTCTGTGGCAACTGATTTTTGTAAATAGCTCTCTGTAGGGCTGAATGGAAGATAAAATATAAACAGTCTATGTGTGATGTGAATTGATTCAGCTGAGGTGTTGGCTGCCTTTTTCTGACCCTGGATCTATACAATCTTGAACGGAGGTAAGGTCAGCCCTGATGATCAGATATGCAGACCTAATGGTTTTGACCTGTAGTCTGGATCTCCCATTTTTGTGGATTAGCAAAAGTGCAAATGGTATACGAACATCGGAAAAAGTAATTGTGTGTACAGAGAGAATAATCTTGACGATATACAGTATATCCTTAAGGATAAAATATATTGATGCAGATTACATTGGAGGCTGTGACGTCAGAAGGCATTTGTGCTCCAGATCGAGATTCTGCCCAGGATGGGGACATGGGCTGTTGTAGGACTTAATCCCTTTCAAAGCATTGCAAACTGTAGCTGGGTAGTTGAACAGCTGTTCTTCTCTTAGCTGCTTCACTTGAACGACAGGTCCTTGTGTCCTTAAGGAATAGCAAAAATCACGAGGCATCCCGAGGGTCCTCTCTCTGACCCAGATCTTAAAAAATAACAATAAGTTACCATAACTATGCAGACACACATTTTTACATTGCTGTCACTAGGTAACAAAAAACCCTTTAAAAGGATATTGTAGTCATCATTATGCCGTTTCAATTGTCGAAGGGGGATGATTGGGGGGAAAACTGGTTTATTATCTTGCTCTGTCAATCAGTCTTAAGGGAATGGCTAATTACAGTATGATGACCTTTTAATATTGTGAGAAAGCAGAATCCTAACATTTTCTATTATTTCATCCTATCCAACAGATTCAGTAAAGTTTAAAAAGGTCGATGGATGATTTAAAATGGCTGTACTGTATGGTTTAGTGAGGCTACCCCTGATATCTTCTCTAATTCATGAAACTGGGAAAAATAAACCTAGGTGTGAACAACTAGTCTAGATTTACTTTGTTTTTGTTTTTTTAAATTCTACATAGATTGTATTCCCTCTGCAATCATTTGCCAGTAGTGTCTCCTTTTCAACTTTTAGAGAATCTTGGTCTCCCGCTATGCAAAATCTTGTCCTAGCTTGCCAAGGTACAGTAACATATTGCAATGAGGAATATAATCCATCACGTTTTGGTTTCCAATAGGACTTTATAATGTAATCACTGCAGCTGGCCCCATATCACAGGCTGCTTCGTGCTCAGCAATAAAATAGTTCTCTTGTTAGAATGCAGGCACAGCTGCAGAAAATGCAACACGTGGCCATTTTTAAAACTTGTAATACATAGAGTGTCACTTGCTAAATATTAAAATATTTGATCGTATTGTCTCTCTAGTTTGGTGTTAAGATCTAGACAAATTGAAATTAAATGAAAATCAGTAAGTCATAGATTTTTGTAGTATTCTAGATTGTAATGAAAGACCTTTTTTAAGACAGATAAACCTGATTCCATTAGAAAGAAAGGGTTAAACATAATGTGCAAAGAAGTAAAAAACACTTTTCGCCTCTTGCTGTAATATTTTTAGCTGCAAGTTATAAAGCTCCTTCTTTCTCAGCAACCTAATATTCTTGGCGTACAAAGTTAACTTTTTACAGATTGTACATTTTGTATGTCAACATTCAACTCTAAAGCTATTTCTAATATTTATATTTCTAAATATATATATATATATATATATATATATATATATATATATATATATATATATATATATATATATATATATATATATATATAGGTTGTAGTAAATGGTTTTGGAGAATTGGAAAAATATTGCAGGCAAACGAAAGAAATGTATAAATATCACTGAGTTCTTTTGGTTTTTTGACAGTTTTCACATTGTATGCTCTTCATGACAACATTGTCTACTGATGGCAGTAGGGGTTTTGTGCTTCCACGTTGTCAGAATTGTTTGAATCTAGTTTAGGAAATACAACAAGAAATTCAAGGTTTTAATTCTGTTCATATGTTTTGGAAAATTTCTGATTTCTGTCATAAGTGAATAAAACCTGTGCCATGACAGACATGTTTGTAGGCTTCTCTGAGTATCTGTGGGGGCGCACATCTGTAACACAGAGTCTGCAGCTGATATGTGTCTTCATTCTGCTCTGAAGCTTTCCCCTGAGTTCGATATTTTACTAACTTTTCCCTTTTGATATCTCTCCTTCTCTCTCTCTTACCAGACACTGCAGATGGGTATAAAGCATTTCTCGGGTCTCTTCGTGATGCTGTGTGTGGGCGTGGCCTTATCTCTTCTGACCACGATAGCGGAACACATTGTGTACAAGCTGGTGATCCCGAGGGTCAAGGAGCCACGCTCCAAATACTGGCTGCACACTAGTCAGGTACTGGGTCACTGAACTGAAAATAAAATACACAGAAACAATAGTAGACCTTTTTACAATTACCAGGAGAGGCATTATCAGGGTAGCTTAGAAAAGGTATTTTAATGATTAACTGCTGTCTGCAAAAAAAATTGAAGAATACAAAATGAAAAGGGACAGCCTCCCATCCTCGCTCCAAGGAGGTTTGTTTTAAATGTGGTGTACTGAATTTCATTGTAGATCATTTGGCGGTGCAAATAACACACTATTCCTGTGTGTTACATAAGTCCTACATTAAACATTATTAAATACTTACCCATACAGTCAAACTGATGTTCCTTAGAAAAGAAGAAATATTTTCCAATGCCCATACTGTAACAAAGACACATAATGTTAAAACACAGCAACACAACACTTTGAAAAATATGATGCTCTTTCGAGCTACATTTAGCTTATTTGTTAGTTCTAGAAATCTTAGGTGATTGTTTTAGATTTTACATGTTGAATAAAACTGTTGTTGTGCAGCTATATTATATATTTTTTTTTTTGTATATATTTTTTTTTACTTGATGTTGAAAGAAACTTTAGCTTTTTAAATAATCATTTTGTTTAGATGTACATACGTTTAAAGGATAAAAATTAAATTTGAGCCGATTTTCTTATTAAGCTTAGGCCAAATTTTACACAGCAGTAAATTGCCTTAATTTCAGAAAAGATCAAGTTTAGATTTGGTTATGTTTCATCCTATTGCTGCTCACAGAACTGCTACTTCAGAAGTCAATAGCATGGAGATTTTCTTAACTCGAATGTGAAAATGTATTGCTATATTTGAATTATTTAGCTTTAAGAAACATATTAGCAGAGAAAAGTATTTTCTCAACAAACAACTTTGATTTCTTTTTAAATTGCTTTTTTTAAGGATTGTTCAATCGAAAATCTCTCTTATAAACCGATCATTATTCCTTGCTGATTTTTTTGAGGATTTTTGGCATTATTCTTGTCTGTTTTTTTTTTTGTTAGCCTTTCTATTTATTGTGCTGTTTTTTGCTGTCTGTTTTAGTTTCTTCTGCTCACATTTACTGTTTTACTGAACTTAAATGGACTTTGATCTATACCTGGTTTTATGTGCATTTAAAGAAATATAACTTTATATTAGATTGTAGAAAGTCACAATAGATAGTTTAAAGTGTACATTCTAGTGAGGCTGTTTGTCAGAGTAAATGTAAGTTTTAAAACGACCTCGAAGCAGGTATTACCGGTAAACATATTTTCCATTTAATTTGCATTTCTCAGTTAAAAAGGCATTTATTAATCTAATGTAATATTCTCATCTTAAATGTTTTGTTTTCCTTCCTATTATGAGTATAACTCTGCTTATGATATTTATGCAATCAAGTACTAACTTTAGTTTTTATCTTAAGAATAAAACAGAAAAAAAGCATAAAAAATAGCTGTTTTTGCAGTACAGTACCAAAGATATACATGTACAGTAAGAACTTCAATGATTTTTACCAATATCAATACTATAAATCAGATATTAAAACTGTTGACTTTTTTTTAATTATCTTTCTGCAGAAAAATATACCTCCACCTGTAAAAGACATTAAAACGAACAAAAAACTGGAGAAATAAGAGGTTGTCTAATAATTGTTTTCATAACTATGTTTCACTTATCGATTGTTTGCAATTTGCAGCCTTTTCACAAGCGTATAATACACCCTTTTTTACCTTGACCCAGAGTCAAGGGTTGGAGTAAAAATTATTAAAGGATTGTTTCACAAGAGCTTTTGTAAAGGCTATAAATCATGAACAGAATTAAAGATGACTGTAAATAAACTATTAACATGTATCATATATTATGTTGATTGTTTTCCAGAGGTTACACAGAGCCCTCAATTCAGTTTTCGTTGATGACCAAGTACCAGCTGTTCCAAAGCCTGAGAAAAGGTAATCCGCTTGTCCTGCAGGCAGTGTTTTATGCAGCTTCATGACAGACAATTAACTTCCTCAGACAACATTTTTACATTTTCTCACTTTTGTATTTCAAAGTTGATTTCAGATACACCCTTTGTTTGATTGTCTGTATTTTTCACAGATGTTCCAAAATCATTTGTCTTTTCGGCTAAGAATTGTTAAAATTTCTGTCCCACTAAATGATCAGAAAAAAATATTTTTTATTTTATGAAAACAAAAACATGTTTTTTTGTTTGTATTTTTTTCGTCTTCTTTTTAAACCCAAAGCTGCAGCCAAAGCTTAAAAAAGACAAAACTGCTTTTCACTGAGCACAGATTTTTCTCCCTACTTCTTCCAACATTTAAAAATGTCAAACCGCATACTCTTCTGGAAGCATTAGCCAAACCACTGGTGATTTGTTAGAAATCATGCTGATCTCTGAAATACTATAATGAATAAAATATGGACCATATAATCATATAATTGACACTTAATTTACAGACTGGCAGTTCCAGCCGAGAGACAATTTTTCCAAACTTCAATGCCCTATTGGTCAAATTATCAGGAAGAGAATGAGTGACATCAATTAACATCCAAGTGGCAGTGAAGGGACCTAATTTTAATAAGGAAATAAAAAAGAATGGTCAATCTCTTGGAAGGCAATTATCTCAGGGAGTGGAGAAATTAATCTGATTTTGACGTCATAGCATTGTTGAAAACAGGAAGACAGGCATGAGGTTAGTCAAAAGACTATTTTTTAACTAATATGTTCATTTTATTCATGTATCAATGGTTGTTTTTCATTATTGAGATTTTCCTTTGGGGTTTTCACCCTGATTAAAGTAATCTCCTCATCCCTTATTTTGATATACTGCCTGTGATTTTATCGCAGCTGCTCCCACAGTGTTAATCATGTTTTACAATAGTTTTAAAATGCATTTGTATTCCTAACATCTTGAATACTGTTTTTATTTCCATTTACGTTGTTAACCATGAAGGAGAGACTGCATTGTCGCTTCTACAGCTTCCTATCTAATTCAAATTGTCTGACCTGTTCAAAGAGCTACTGTAGTTACAGTATTCGATTCAATGAAAGTCTTTTAATTTCACATAGCCGTGTTTTGATACACATGTAGGTATAGAAACACATGATAAAGATGTTTCCGTTTTAGGTGACATACTGTTGGAACTTCAGATTGACCTAGATTTCTAGCCTGGTGGACTGCCCTTTAAAATAAAATTTGTCACAGTCAACAGAAAAGATATGCAGCATCCAGAAGGTCACTGGTGTGTGTATTACAACAAAGCATTGAAGACACAACTGCACTAAAGTAAATCATGCTATACAGTGTTAACGTATGTTATTTCATTTTAAGTGATAAAACCCCAAATCTGAGTTTTGCAACGTACAGACTTTTTTACCTGATTTTTGAAGCATACAGCAGTTTGTAAAGGCTGATGTTGTGTTATTTTCAACTTACTGGATCAGTTTTAGGGGCAGGAATCCATTAAGCTGTTTTCTTAGCAAAAAGATTCCATTTCGAATCATTCCCCTTAGTACTAAAACTTCATCTCTGTATATTTCACACCTCTGCTTAGACAAGCAGGGGAAACTCAAGGGGAGTTCACAAAGTGGGGATTTAATATATAAAATAATTATGGAGACAAGTCTATGTGAAGGATGCCTACAGTAATGAGAACCGATAACCTACCTGTGCATCCTTACCTCATTCAATCAAGTTCCTCTGCGCCGAGCCCTCATGCTGTCTAAGAGTCAGGAAATATTATTATCAGCATCTCAGAAACCTCCAGCTATGTCAGGAGCTGTGATGCAAACTCTGCACTGTAGCTTGGATATTCTCATTCTTATTGTCCAGGAATGCAAACAGATTTTTTTTATAATTTAAGTCTGACAATGTTTATTATAAATCCTGTTTTAACAGCAGAGATATTAGCCTGCATGAGATAAATGACTAGTAAAAACAAAGAAGTTCAACTTTAATGGAATGTGATCAGTGCTCTTGATTAGACTATAACCTATAAGCACACTTTCTGACTTTTTTAACAAGAAAAAGTAAAAACAAAGAATCATTAGAGCTCCGTCTGTCTAAGAGAGTTTGGAACAATGTCTACAGACGTTTAGGATCTCAGATGGCCAATTAAAGTTGTTTTCCACATGAAGCTGGACACAGCGACAAATTGAAATAATGACATTTAATCACAGGTGCTTCCACTTATTCTTTACAGTCAATATGCTACGCCTGTCAGGAAGACAGAGCTGGAAGTAGAAAACTGAGCCTACAGACAGATTAAATGGACAGCAGGTAAAAATTATTGATCAAATTAGACCAAAAAGGGCTGAGTAAAAAGGGTACAACTAAAAATGCAGCTTAAAAGACCGAGACTGTTCAGAGTATATTAAAAAATATATAAGATATCAACCTGAGGATAAATAAAAGTAATACACAAGAAGACGTTTGGGGGTTAATTCTTTATTTGTCCAAGCAGACATTAATAATGAAGGGAAAAAAATTGTATGACCTAATATATCACACAAAGGAGCACAAAAGTAGGATTTATTTTGGTAGAAGACGTTTAATAAAATCTATTATTTCAAGTAAAAATCATCTTTAGTGTAAATACAGCTTGTTTTTATTTTCTAAATGCCCAAAAGGAGCATGATTGCTGGTTTTAGCAAGCTGTGCAATTTAGGACTTTAAAACAGGCTTTTAGTTAGAATGTTGCATAGTGCAGCCACTAAAAATTATTATAAAATAAAATAAGAAAAACTGAGAATTGATTTTTAAAACAGCTTGAGACTTTATTTCATGGTGAGCAAATGCAAAGTCTCTTGCTCAAAGAACATGAAGCACCTGTGGGTTCATAATGTTGCAGCAAGCGTCTGCTTAACTAGCATCTGAACTGACAGATGGGCTGGGAAACATAATCCACAGGTGAATTATTGGCATGTGGTATTGAAAACGATCGCATGCTGGTAAATTTGAATTAACTGGAAGTCATTCTCTTTTCATGGAATGAAATGATAACGACAACGGAGAAAATTCTATAACTGCATCGGAAAAGTTATCGTGTTTGATGATTTGTTTTGGATTGTGTGTAACAGAAAGGTTAATGGGCATCTCTAGGAGCATGGGAATAAAGGAAATCGATACTAACTAGATTGAATACTGACCCTGTGAACTTGATGCACCACAAATCTTTAAAAATTTTGAAATGTCAGACAAATGTAACGACAGGAAATGCGACTCTTCTCTGAGCAGTATCTTTAGAAAGAGGATTTTAAAACTGGGACACTAACTGCATCTTTATGTAAGGACCCCCATATATCAGACATACACTTAACAAAATATAAACACCTGCACTGTTTTGCTCTCATCTCTCCTCATCTGAACCAAAAGATTGAAGACTTTTTTTTTGTTAGATTTTTTATTCTGTCCACAAATCTGTCGAAATCTGTTTCTCTGCTTCTTCTTCTATATCTTCTTCTGTTTCCTTGAACCCCAGTCAGTCTCAGCAGAAGGCCGCTCACACTGTGCCTGGTTCTGCTGGAGGTTTCTTCCAGTTACAAGCATGCTTGGTGTGAGGGATTGTTGAGTCAAGTCAATGAGTTGATTGAATAAGCTGGTTTTCCTTAGATACAAAACTCTGAACAACGCTGACTGTGTGATCTGGTTGAATTGTCTCTGTAAAGTGCCTTGAGATGACATGTTTTGTGAATTGGAGCTATATAAATAAACTTAATTGTTAGTAAGGCTTCTTTAATCTCAAGTGTGGCCAATCAAATTGCTGATTAGACTCTTGGATTAATACACAAGCATTGCTTAAGGCCTGTTAGACTAAAACTTTAATGTTTCTCAAAACCATTATATCTAATTTCTAACTTTCTTTGATCAGTACAAATTATGATTTTGCACAAAAGAGAAGACCAAGTCTTGCTTTTAGTAAGTACCAAGTGCAAAGCAGGGTATTTTTTTTTTATTACAAATAAAATATGTAGTTTGGTGCATCTAGTATCCTAATATTGAGAATTGATGTAGCACATGAAAATCTACCATCGTCTTCAACAGGTTAAACTGGTCAGTTTTTAGCTCTGTAAGCCTGTGTTAACTGAGTTACCCGAGGCATTAGTTATAATTATTTGTTTTGCAGTTTGTAGATTTTTTTTTTAATAAAGAAGATGAAAGATTGATGCCTTCTGAAATAACTGTCTCTGAGTAAAAAATTTAACTTTTGTTTTGTCTTAAAAGTTAAGAATATCTGCAAGAATTGTATTCTATACAAATAGCCATTAAGATCTTTAGTAGATAAATGCATCACAGTCTATTTACAACTGAAGAGGAAGATGTAGGAAGGAAAATAAAAAATGTAGAAAAGTATAAAAGATTGAATTATAACCTAAGTTTACCTTGAGGGGAACCAGCAGTTGAAGTCATTTGATTCATTCAGTTATAAAACACTGATGGAAGTAAGTAGCAATATTCTAAAGCAACACCAGAAACGAGTGTGGTTATCATATGACTGGAGGCTCAAGAGATCTGATAAAATGTTCTTCATCTAAAAAATATTCTGACTTTTACTGCTGCCATGCCTTGAGCACAGGTCGATAGGTGGTTATATCATTTTCAGACGAAACTCTTTTTATGTGCTCATATTCAAATATGTCATCCGTAGGCTTTGATGTTAGGAGTATCTCATTAGATACTTCTTGTCACTTTTTCTCTAGTAAAAATAGCTTTTGATTTTGAGAGTTCTCCATTTAAGCTTCATCTCAGTCAGCTTTGGTCATATCACTATAACTTTGTGGAAGAAAAAACAAATTAGATAATTTTGTAACTGTGTAGATAAATAATACCTATACTTTATAAGACCACCAAAATAAATTATCCAATCTACTGGAGCTCCTCTTCCTTACATCTTAATTTTCCACTTTGTACAGTATACTAGATTTTGAAGAGGAATTTAATATAAAAAAAAATTCAAGACATTTCAAGAACTGATTTTGAATTGTTTTTGATAACAACTCTAAATACAGACTATTATTAAATGTAAATAGGCAATAATAAATCGAGATTTAGAACCATACAGATCATATACTACTCCTATTCATCAGTTATCAACTTGATTTAAGGTTGATTCATCTATAGATCTATGGGTTTGCACAAAGGTATTCATAGCATTTAAACACTTTCTCATTTTGTGATATTAAAACTGAAGCAGCATTCTTGTACTGTAAAAAGCTCTTTGCCACCGTAAACTTCAAAGTGCTTCTGATCAAATTAAACCGGTAAAAATCTAATCTCTGATTTGGACACCAATTGGTCGAAAATAAATAGAGGCAAATCTGCAATGCAAAAATTTATTCTTGGTGTCCCACTAGGGTTTACACAAGAGCCTTCTTATTCTGCCGACATATAAAGGAATTATTTAAACTTTTCAAATATGCTAATGGACAAATCTATGCATATGATACAATCATATACTGTATGTAACTGCAAATTATAATCAACAGGCTTCTAAATAATGAAGTCAGCAGTTGGTTTTGATATTCCAATAGCTGGAGGTAAACTGCACAAGATAAATTCTAAACACACTTTAAAGAGGAGCATGCATAAAGTTTAAATTAAATAAGCAAAAGGGAACTCAGGGAGGTATACCAGGTCAAATATCTGGGGGTTGTCTTTGACTCAAAACTTAATGTTTAGCATCTACTATAGGAGCGCTAGACATGTAATTTCATGGTTTTGTGTCCCTGAAAGCAAATGCTGAAATGTTGCAAAACCAAACAGCTACCCATCTGTGTTTTGGAATTTTATGGCAGATCACTTAGAAAGTTGTTGAGTCACTTGTAAAGAGAGGGACACATTCACCCCTTCAAGATTAAATCCTACATCAGAGAATCAACATATACTTTTGGTCAATAGTTATCTATCAATCAAAAGAACAAAATTTTATAGGAATGGAATGATATTTTTACATATTGTGTACTTCTGTTATTTAGGGTGAGGCTTTCAATCTGTCCTCAAGCCCTATATCATATTATAACAGAAAATGTTGCCATTTTCTGTTGTGCCATTTTTCTGGAAAAACCAGAAAAATGGCATCACTGTCAGATTCTTTAAAGACATCACATGTTGTTTTGATCATTTTTTCAAATCGTTTTTTCCTAAAACCAGTCCCTGAAGTGATTTGTTACAAAATAGAAAGCATTGTGAAAGTGTGAGAACTAAAGGTGGGATGTCTAAACAGTCAAATGTGCAGGATGACAGTCATCGTCCTAAAAAGATCACAGTTTTGGAATTCTTTACGATTGACTCTAAAGTCCCTGCCAGAAACCAGGCCTCCATTAACAAAGCTAAAACACTGCCTTGAAGAACAGCAATGCTGTAAACATTACAAAATCATAATCAAATTGTGTTTTTAAGAATTTTAGCCTTACGATAACTTGTAATTTCATTGTATTGTTTTTTTTCTATTTATTGTCTGCGGCATTAATTCATCCTGTTTATGTTCCTTCTTATGTGGTATGTTTGGTATATTACAAAATTTTTGCCAAACTATTCAAGCTGGTATGAAAAAAAAATAGCAGTTTTAATTTTCTAGTAAATACAGATTAATAATAATAATACTCCCTAAGTAAGTAACCCAGTGATGATACTTTGTCTTCTAAAGGAGTTGGCTTGTTTCTCTTTCTTTTGTTTATGGTTCAATTGTCTGTAATTTGCTTAGTTGTTATACTACATGGAAATGGTTGTATGTGTTGCATCAACTTTTAACTTTGGCAAATAATGAAAGTTATATGACAAATAAGGAAACCATTTTCTAAGACTTTTCTTTTAGGTAGGATTCCTACCAGTGTGATGCATTTACATTGTACACAGTTCAGCCATATTGGCATTTAGATTTAAAAAAAATTTTTTTTTTACTTTTTCTCTGACTTATCTCAGGTGCAATGAAGGACACAACCAGTCGGCATCACGGAATCGTGCAGTATCCGCCCAGGGCAACAAGCGAAGGTTTCTTCCACAAGATATTCAGAATGATTTGGAACATCTACCCTCCCAGGATCTTCCACCTCCACCACCCTCTTCTCCCCATCCCCATACTCTTCCCTTGCTGGAAAAACACAAGCCCGTAGTAACCACCTCGAATGGTCGATCTGACCTGTTAGGGCGTGTGTTGGGACAAGGGCAAGAAGGATCTGGACAGGCCACATTACAATGCTGTAGTTTAGGAGGGATTGACTGTGAGGTTGGCCAAGTTAGTCGAAGCCCTCTGTTACAGGAACTGTCAGAACTTGAGAGTCAAATAACTGCAATCAAGCAGCAACTACAGTCTGCAATGAGAAGAAAGAGAGAGCTGGAACGATACCAGTCAGAAAACCTGCAAACAAACCAGACTTCACAGAGTCAGTCTTTAACTCACCAGTCCAACCAGTTTTCTCAGTATACCCAGTCCCACCAGCAGACTAACCAGAACACAAATAAACTCCCAGACTTTTAAAGCCTGTCTTTTACTATTTTATCAAAAAAAGAACCAAAAAAGAATCAACCGGGGAACAGGTGTCCCAAAACCTTTTGGATAAGGCACACTGCCTGGTTCTGGAAATTGTAAAGATTTTTCTTACCAAGGTCCTCATGTAGGCATAAGGTTTCCTAAAATGTTGACCTGAGGTTTTCACTGTGGATCAAAATTTTAGTCTGTGACTCCAGCTTGAACATTTTCTGACCTCTGGAAGGTGAGAATTGATTAGAGAAGGAGTAGACAACACTGAAAGAGATGCTGAACCCCATTAGCTTGTGTCAGTGAGAAGCTGTGCTTTCTCTGTCCTCTTAACCTCCATTTCATTCTTCTCGGATAGCCTCAACGTCTTCTCCTTCACTCTCCTTTTAAGCTGAATACATCCTTTTGTCCCTGAAATCTCTTACCTTTGAGATAAGCTAAATCTCCTCAGAGGTAGAATTTGCTATATTGATAAGCTTGATCACTGGTATGATGACTCCTTTCAGTTTAAGCTAAATGAACCATTTTACCAGAGTTTGTTGAGGGTCTTTGAGCATATTATGACCTGTAAGTGAACCCAGCCAGATTATTCTTTACGAATACTGTATCTTGCACAAACCTTATATCTTACCAGCATAAATCTCATCGGGATTGGTAGACATGGTCACCTATGGCTTAATGTCTCAAATCTGGCAGTGCATTTACTGTTTTCTTGAATAGGTCCTTTGACAGAGTTGTTGTTGCAAGATATCCTGGGAAAATACTATATAAAGCATTCACAAGACACTTTGATAAAGTAGAACTGGTTATTCCATAGGATTGGATCCTATGACTATTCACAACAGTACTTATGAATCACTGTATAATGATGGTCATGTACTTCACTGACACACTCCTGGTTTTTCTTAGTCATTATTTAATGTCAGAGCCAAAAAATTGTGGTTCACTGTAATCTTTCTGTAGGTCCCAACTTGCAGGGGTGGATGTGTTTTTGTTTTCTTGTCTTTGAACAGTCTGGTGCTCTTGTGCTACTGGTGCCACAAAAACACTGAGTGTAACTCCCTCCTCTGTTGCCAACTGATAACTAAACAAAAAATGTAAGGCTAATATGTTACCCTTTGCTGGCTCTGACATGTTACCAAAGCATAAAGGATTTACCATTCAAAACAGAAAGGACAGTACCCATATGACTTTTTTCTTGCTTTTTTGCTTTGGGTTGGACAAGATCTGTTATTAAAAATTTATTATCTTCTTTGCATGATTCTTTTTTATTCGATTATATAGCTTGAAGTGGTTGAGAGAAGAGTCCCCACCTCTTGAATCATGGTTCTTCAACCAGAAAGCCTTAGCTACAGGTACCCCTTCAAGATCAGGGGTTGGTCTTTGTATCAAGCTTAGAAATGTAAGTATTGTATCAATAGGGATGCTAAGATGAGGTGAGACAAAGGAAGACAGATTGGGGGCTTGTTTTGCTATACTGTATATGGGCAATGCTCCAGTCAATTATCGTGCCAGCAGAGTTCAGAAAAAAAGATAAAGGTTTAAATGTGCTAGTCTGTTTATGATCCTACGCTTTTTCTGCATTTCATCAGGAAGCCTTTTGGCATCGAAGCACCTTGGTTTTTAGCCTTTCTCAGCGTATCCCATTGGAATAAGACCCGAGGCAGAGCCACGACTTATGGGGGACTACCGTTAAAGATACTTTCCCTCTGGCCAAACAATGCCTAGGGGTTTCCCTATATTGCTGAAGTGTATTTTGTGCCTTTTGTTCCCACAAAGCTCAGAGAATAGGACAATGCATGGATATGTTATTATGTTCCACAAAGGCCTAGACCAGGATTCTTCAAAACTGGTCTTGAAAAGTCTGGTGGTGTGCACCTTTTAGATGTGTCTCTGCTTCCACACGCCTAAATCAAATGGCTGAAGAATCTCCTCAGTGTGAAGTTAAGGGCTCAATTCGGGCTAAATCTGAATACATCAATGCTTAAGGCAATTGGCTGTTTCCTTCAGTAGGAACTTTTTAACGAATCTGTCTAGGATTTGATAGATTGTCTCTGTAAAGTGCCTTAAGATAACATGCAGTGAAATGGCGCTATATAAATAAACTAAATTGAATTGATTAAAGTAAGTGCTGTCTAAATAGTGCTGGCAGTAAGGAAAAGGTGGGGAAACGAGACAAAAAATTGTTATTTCAGAATTATGACGTGCAAAAGTACACCTTCATAAATTTTAGTTTGCGTAATGGAGAGCTACTGCTATTCGCTGCTTTTATGTAAAAGCTTGTTCATACTGCAAAGTTTTCAAAACTTTAGACCCCAATTATGACGATAGAAAAATTTTGGTTGTACAGCATGTTCTCTCATCAAAAGTGATCCACATCACACACAAGCCAATTTTAAAGCTCTCAACTTGCATCGAGCAGAGTCTACAGACAGTCTCTGTTGTACAATAGCAGATGGCTTGGGTTTATTTTCTACGATGAGTGGGCAAAAAGTAGTTTTTAAGCAGGAAAGTAGATCTCAAAATATAATTGTGTCGTCAGTTTACCATCATGATGGTCCTACCTTTAAATATTCTGTAGTTGTTTCCAGTAGTATACCCCGATATTTCAACAGAATAGGAATGCCCAGGGACAGCTCCCTGTCGGCCAATCACTGGAATTTGCTGTTTGTAGCATTAGGAGGGATATAAAGTGTGTCTAGGTGATAAAAACTGAAAGTACAGGAATATCAATCCATGCATTTTCTTTCGCTTTATCCCAGGCTGGGTCTTGGAGCCAGTGTGCAGTTTTCCAGGGGTGTGGAACAACAACTGCCAGAGAGGATATTTGAAAATATGTTACTTATTATCCCTAGATATACACAGATATTTGGGCTGCAACAATGTCGATATTTATTTTTTGGTAAGGAGTTATACACAACTTCAAAACAATTAAGACTGTTGAGAAGTGTTTTTCCCTTTTTAGTTAAAAAAAAGTTAGTTTGTGGTCTATTAGTCACTATTTAATTAATAGGTCTATTAATAATTTTTTTTCTTTCTTAGACATTTACATCAACCAACATATTTCACTTCAAGTACTGTACCCCACCGTTTTTCAACAGTGTCACCACTTTGCCTATACAAAAGTTTTTTAATTAATTGAATAACAAAAAAAACAACTCTATTTGATTGTATTTGTATGAAATTTACTGAATGAAGAACAAGGACTTTTTTCTCTAACAAATGCAAACCAAAAAGGAACAGCTCATTTAGTTATGATCCAATCACAGAATCGTCTTCTATGTTAGACATCTCCCACTATATGGCTTAAGGAAAACTATAAACATTATTTAACAATGGCTTTCTTCTTACAGTGTTATTATTTTTAGACACCAGATTCACAGATTGTATAACTTATAGTTATGTGTTCCACAAATTATCCTACATGAGCTGACGGATCTTTGAGTCTTCTCCAGAGTAACAATTGAACTTGTTGCTGCTTGTATAACAATTATTCTCTTTGCCTGATCCCTCTCTTATTTTGGACCTCCCATAGCTATTCAGATTTTGGATGAGGTATTAAACTGTGCTTTGAGAGCTTTTCAAACCTTGAGATACTGTTTAATTTCTTATTTAAGCATAAGAATTCTCTATAACTTTATTCCCGACCTATCTGCAATGTTCCTTGACCTCTACGGCACTTTTGTTCCCCAAAAAACCTCTGAGTTTTTCACAGAAACATTGACATTCATTAAAGTAGATATCAGCAGAAACGGAAACTATGTTGCTAAATAAGAAAAACCAGTATAGTGGAACCTCTATTAAGTTTCTTTTTATATTTCTGAATATTAACTGCACCGTATTATCTTTTAATTCTGATATAGACCAGAATGCATTTATAACACATCATTTTAAGCTGGACATCACATTAGATCGATAGGCAGAGGTTAGCAGAGTACCCAAGCATTGTAATAAAGTAAAAGCAGTACTACTTTAGCCTGTTTTCACTCTATTAGAAAATACCCTTCCAAAATAATTATTCTGTGCTCTCACACACCTTTGACTGCTGAGGCTGGAGAATATGAGGACTCAAAGGATGAAGAATGTGAACTTTTCCATGTGGTACCTTTTTGGGAACAGATGGTGTTTACATTTTTACTGTGAAGGCTATTAAGTAAAATAGTGTTTGGTTGAAAGGTTTTTGAGAAACTGATCATAACATCTAATTTAACATTTAAAAATTGGGTACGGTCAATATGCTGGTGCAGATTCTCAGCCATCCAGGTCTAAGCAAAAAAAAAAAAAAAAAAAAAAAACAATTCACTGGACTTTGTTTCCAAGTGTGAAGACGTTTTGCTTCACATCCAGCAAGCTTTTTCAATCCAAAATGTCAGAAATAGCGTTGATCTCGAGGCTTTATATGGTGGACCAAAAACAATCCTTTTTTTGGCCTATAAAACATGCAAATTGAACCAGAAGAACTTGTCCGCCCCTTAGGAATGGGCAGTCTCTGAAAGGGGGGTTGTTGGGGGGAATCGTTGGTCTGGTTGAACAGGGGAGATGTTCTGTTCCCCTGTATGGGGGTGGGGGTTGAGATGATAGCGGGAAGGAATGAACTCTATCACTGTATTTTAGGTTTTTATAATCAGAAACCTAAGTCCACCCTCTCTGTTTTAGGTTAGTTTTTCTTTCTTAACATAGATGGCTACTTTCACGCCCACCTGTCTCCTTTGTCAAAAATTTTAACATTCTGGTCCTCAAAAGAATGTCGTTTGTCCATAAGGTGTAGACATACTGCAGAGTCTTGTCAGGTGAAATAAATTACGAAGTTGTGTAGAACTTCTGGTTTATAAGAAATAAATATAAAGCATATTTAGATACAAATTTAGATTGAATAACCACTTTTCAAACTAAAAGCAATATTGAAGCAATACTTGCACTATATGATGGCCCTTAGGTGTAAAATACGTACCCTAAAAGAACCTGACCAAATGTAGCCAGTTACTTCCCGCATCTGTAATACAAGTATGATGTTTTTTTTAAGCTAGACAGAGCAAAACGGAACAGCAATCTGCTTTAGTTCAATACTTTGCTTAATAAAGGGAAATTTTCATGCAGACTTGGACACAAAATAGAAATAATCACAAGAGACCACAAAGCTGCTACTGACTATTTAATTTTTTGGACAAACAAAGAAAAAATATATATAGCATTTCATATGAAATGCTTTTTTTTTCTTCTTAAAGAAAAAGACAGATATAATCACAATGATAATGAGTAATATCTATAAAACATTTCGACTTCTCTCTTCATGCTGGGCATATCTTCCAATAGGAAATGGATTCACAACATTGCATCACAATCCACTGGTGGGTCAGGGAGAGGAAGGGGTCGCTCAAGGAGGAAATGTGGAGCCAAAGTCAATGGCAGGGTTTGCACTGAAAACACCAACAGCCAATAAATTCCCTTAGAACATTATTGCTGTCTCATTGTGTTAAACTCTATATCCGTTCGAAATGACTTTCATTCAAATTTCCATTTAGAAGCAATTCGAATAACCACACAAGGGGAATCACTGCATGCATCTGACACATGCAAGACCCCTTGGATTGCTTTGATGTCATTGTTATCAACATCTGAGTGAATCTGGAAATTGGGGTGAAAGCCACTCCTAGTACATTTCTGAGTAAAGACATTGTAAAATATTCCATCGGAATCTTAACTGATGCCAAGTGACTCTTCCTTACATTCCCTCCAAAAATGACAAGACTTGTTCCCCCAAACAGCTAAACTGATACTAAAACATATTCAGGTTTACAGCAGGCAAACAGGTCCAAATGGATCATAATAGTCATAAAGACTAACAAAAATCCTTAAAAAATATGACCCCATAACGGTCAATTAATGCACAGAGAGATAATAAAAAGAATGTTTCCGTCTCCTTTTTTCTGTACAAATGACAAACACCACATAACAACATCAATAGGTTCTTTTTTTTTTCCCCATAGCATAGAGTTTTCATACTGAGTGGGATGAATGTGGTGATCGATGAGGCATTTCACCTGACAGGATGTGATGTAACACAGTGAATAAACTGACAGGAAGTGTGCAGGTTTTTGACATTGTCAGGATTGGCTACGGCACTCGCTCATACAAAAACGTACAAAACACCATCCCATAACTACGAACGGTAATCCCTGGAGGACAAAAAGAAGTACCATGTTTCAAAGGATTTCAGATAG